GTGTGTGTGCGTGCACGTGAGTGTGTGAGCGTGCACGTGAGTGTGTGTGAGTGCACGTGAGTGTGTGAGCGTGCACGTGAGTGTGTGTGAGTGCACGTGAGTGTGTGAGCGTGCACGTGAGTGTGTGTGCGTGCACGTGAGTGTGTGAGCGTGCACGTGAGTGTGTGTGCGTGCACGCGAGTGTGTGAGCGTGCACGTGAGTGTGTGTGCGTGCACGCGAGTGTGTGAGCGTGCACGTGAGTGTGTGTGCGTGCACGCGAGTGTGTGAGCGTGCACGTGAGTGTGTGTGCGTGCACGCGAGTGTGTGAGCGCGCACGCGAGTGTGTGAGCGCGCACGCATGCGCACGCTCGTGACTTGTTACCACATCTGAGTTGACCTACGCTGGGTTTTTTTTGTTTATTATCTGGTTATCCTGACATCACAGTCATCTTACCGCCTTGCCCCCCCCCCCCCACTGCCCCCACCGCCCTCAGACATCCACCGAGGGCATCGGCACTTCAATTAGCATCCCAGTCATTGAGGAAACTTTGGGGGGTCAATTCGCTCCCAACCGGTCGTGGTCGATGCGGCGCCCGCGTACATGCGAGCGTAACGCGCCCGTGCGCCTGCGCGTGGCTTTTACGGTGCCGGGGAAGATGTACTGCGTTCTGGATATTTAATGGGGTCTCGTTTATTATCGGGCGGTAAAAGTGACAAATGCGTAAATGGTGGCAGTAGCGTGCGTAACGATTGCGGTTCGGAGCGTTCCTCGTCTTAAAGTACTTTATTGGGGCCAAAAGGATGCGTGCTCACGATGTACCGTTGTACGCGTGCACGAGGAGGAGCGGCAGGAGAGCGTTGAACACATGGGGGATTCTCTCGGCAGTTGAACCAACCCATTGTTTACCTTGGCTTTTGAAATTCCCTTCTCTATTATGATTATTTGCTGGAATTTAATTATCGTGTTCAGGTAATACAAGGGGCTATTGGTCGTGTTTGTTCGTTGTTTTATATGTGGCTCTCACGAAACTTTTTCGTCAGTTTTCCCCCCGTGTACGCGTACAATTTATCGTGCCATTTTAATAAATTGGCTGCACGTCAGAGTAACGGTCCACCCTATATTTTTAAACGCCTCCGTACAATGTACAACAAATGTTTCCCTTACAGGACGCAAGCAGCCCAATCATGCAGATCTGCACTCTCGGCACTTACATTAAAAGCTCGCCCGGCAGTTTACTCACCCGGTTAACAAAGACGCGTTTAAGGGGTGTCAAAACATGGCGTGAGCTTATAAAACATTAAAATCCAATTATACTCGCACATCCAGCCGCATTAATTAATAAAGCCGCCGTTTTCAGCTGTCGACGGTTGACCAACGCCCCTCCGCTACCGGATGGCAAACGGCGCCAACGCCACCATACCGTTCGTTTGTTCGTTCCTTAACGCAGCGCCCTCTGCTGCCTCTGCATCGCTCTCTACCCTGGCCACTTGAAAAGCGAACGCGCGCACACGTGCGCGTTCATATCTCGCGGCGAACCGGAGCGGGAGAGAGCGTGCGAGCGCCTTGCGTTGGCGTTACCTACGCATTGAAAAAACTAAAAAACGTTCGCTCGCTCGAGGTCGACGACGTTTTGGAGATGTCCCCCGGTTGTGCGGCTTGCAGCAGAAGAGGTCAAAGTGTTGTCATAAAACTGACGCTGCCCCACCAAATGGACGGCTTACTTGGAATCTCGAGCCGTGCGGTGAAACGACACCCGACGTCGCGTAGATGCCGTCCGGGTGTCCCGCAGGTTGACTCTCCTGAAACGTAGAGAACGGTCAGTTTAAGACGTAGGAGGCTTTCGCAAACAATATCTTCCATAATACAGGCTTTTTGGGTTGGATCGCGTAAATATATAAACTTGCCGTTAAACCCGCCACCCCCCCGACACAGCCAAATCAGTAAGGTTTGTCAAATTGTAAATGTTGTACTCGGAATGTAAATGTTGTGGCTTGGCTCTCCAACACACCGGTTAGTGCTGTACTAGTGTAAAGCAGCTGTCAGAGACACCGTCTTGTCTTTCTGTGTATTTATTATGAATAAAGTCCGCTGACAACTCAACGAGTAACCGCGAGTGACTATATACACTTGGGTAGTTAGACGACTCTGTTCTGAGATAGCGTAGCTCTAGTCTCAAGACAACTCGAAGACGATGGAGACGATCTCCGCCCTTATTACACTTTCTCGCCATTGGATCCCGTGCTCCCCTTCACGTGACCCTGTCAACACTCGTCCCGCCAATCATCATCGGCACGTCCATTAGTATCCATGGTCCCGGGGAACCATACTGTCCCTCTATCGCTCCGTACTGTCTTTACACTAGTAACGAATTGGCATGTTCTGTTCACGTGACAAGCTTTACTAATTGGCTGTGTCGGGTGGGGTGGCAGGTTTAATGACAAATGTATATATTTACGCGATCTAACCCAAAGAAAACTGTATTATGCAGAGAACGGTATTTACACGCGTCCGCACTTGTTGCTAATTCGCTGTCGCGGAAACTTTGGTTTCGCCTCTCTTCATGAGCAGAGCTCCCGTGCGACGACGCGTCACAATGTCCGGATACGGAAACGGAATGTCAGCTACATGGGCGAAAGGAAGTTCGTTTCGTTGGAAAGTGACCGACCGCGCAGCGTTGCGCACAGCGAAGGGCAGAACGGAAAAATCCGTAGTTTGTTACTATGCTGCCCACGTCTATGCTCTCCCCGCCTTCACCACCAATCCGCACTGACCAGCACGGTGATGTATAGTCAAATAACCGCCACGATTCGCGCACGGCGTGGCGAGGCCCCTCATCCAGCAGTGAATTGACAAAACGGGGACTGTATGCTATATCGATTGGGAAGTTGACCGATCTAGGAAACGGTGAGAAATGCCACGTGATAAAAAATAAAAATGCTGTCCGTTTGTTGTTGGTTCCTCCGAGCGGTTCGTGATGCCATCGTTGGAAGCGCAGGGCCACAAATATGTCGCCTCTGGAGCGGTGCTCGGAAGACTACCGTCATTTTTTAAAAGATGTCTTCCTCGCATCACCAATTGTCACGCGCCGCGTGCGCCTTGAAACAAACGACAGCTTTCGTGAGGATGCGGCATCGCGCGTGACTTTGAGTGGCGGCATTGGGGCGGACCCCAGGGTTAATTGCTTTGGATTTTGATGGATTTTAGTAACTTTTTTTTTAAAGATCCCAGATTGCCTTGTCCCCACGGGTTTAGCTGAGCCTCTCATTCCCACTCCCCAGAGGCCACCGGGGTCACGCCGAAAGGCGCGCGCACAAAAGTTTTATTTTGCGCACAAAAAAAATATTTTGTTGTCATCAGCGTCGGCCATGGTCGATCTACTGCTGGGCGATTGCCTCACCAAGCCCGTCGCCATCTGTCACGATCCCACAATGCAATAATCCACCAAGCTCCCCGCACGCGATCCGATTTCGAAGCTCTGCCTCTCCGTGGTGCACGTGCTCTCGGGTGCATTTCCTCCTTCGGCTGCCACTCCGCCATTAGTCTCGACAACCGACCATCATCCCTTCTGCTCTTCCCAAGCCCACTCACTTTTTTTTTTACTTGCATCCAATACAGAATCTCTAAATGTGTAAAAAAAAATATATAAATCAAATCTGGCTCGGCAGGTTTCCTTCCTTGCCCGTCTGTCTCCCGTCGTTGTTCACGTGCCGGCGAGTCGCAGGCGTTCAGCGCCGTGGGTCGCAGGCGCGCACGCAGACAGAGTCCCGCGGGAACCGAGCCTTCCGGACCGTGTCCCGCGGCGTCCCCATGCCAAACATCCTCAGCTCGGCAACTCCCCTCGTTTATCCGCCTCCCGTCAACTCCCATCTCTTACGGGGCTCTTCCCCCGTGCCACCCTCCGGCCCACCCTGCCGCCTCCTCTTCCAGCATCCCCCTGCACGACGCACACACGCACGTGCGCGCACCCCCTTCAAACCCCTTCGCAGTCCCCTGCGGGCGTTCATCAATATTTAAGGATGCCTGTGATTGAGTCTGCACCGGGGGAGAGGACACCTCCGCTCCACGCTCGATTATCCCTCGGGTCAAGGTCCGGCTGAGAAGTTTGCCGCATTTTCCAAAGGGGGGGGGGGTGGAAATCTCTCATTTGATGGTGGAAATGAGGGAACTGGCGGGAGAGGGCGGGAGGAGGAGTGGGGGGGGGCAGTGGTACAAAGGGCATGGCGATTAACGGGGCTTTGTTGAACTTTGCGCCCAAGCACTTGCCCAGGATGGGGAGGGGCGACCTTCATAAAATAGAAGTTGCGACGTGCGTTTGGTGCGTCTACCCATTACCCGTACAGACCGGCGGCCTCCGTGTTCCCCTGGCAGCGGCCCACGGACCGCACTGACGGGCCCTGGTAACCGCGAGCAAGAATCTTTTGAGCCGGCACTTCTAATGGCCCGGGCATGTCCACCCGTAAGCTTCCAATTTGCTGGCAGGCACCACGAACAGCATGATTGGGAAGGAAAGGGTGCAGTTATGAATTTAAATCTGATTGAAGTGGGCACTGAGCTGATTTTCAGCCCGTTTTGGTTTGCGGTGTTATGGGCAGGCAGGAGATGGTAGTGATGGGGTCAACTGGGAACTGGTTATTGATGTGTTGTGTGTGTGTATATGTGTGTCTGTGACTGTGGCTTTCTGCATTGCAAATTTGTGTGTGTCTGCAAGTGTTCTGTGTATTTTTCATTTTTGTGTATGAGCCTGTGTCTCCGCGTTTATCCACGTGTGCGTGTATGTGCACATGTGCGTGTACGTCCCTGCCCGCCTTATCAACCGCTGAACCCATAACACCTGAGTGTGACATCTACCTCCTACCGGCAAACTTTTGACACTTGCCACAGCCACAAAGGAACGCACGTAGCCTGGCGCAAGCGCCGTGGTGACATCGCTTACCGGCGAAATGACAGTCGTTGCATTTGTACGTCTGTGCGAGCGCGCTCGTCTTTGTCTTTGTGCGTGCGCCGCGTTTGCGCGGTCAGGTACGTGGACGAGGTGATCACACGCATGGATCGTCTGTTCGGCGACATGTCCTTCACGCTGTCGAGGCCCAGCGGAACATCGGCCATCGTTGTGGTGAGCTCCACTCCCCTCGGGGGGCGTCCCCGAGGCCCGAGAGCGCCCCTTCGCGCACCGCCCGCCCAAATCCAGCGCTCGTCAGCTCCTCGGATCGCTGGGCGCGTTCGTGGCGTCATCGGCAACTCGTTAACCATTAACGTCGCTTAACGCAGGGCACAGCGCAGCAGCCATGCCGCGATCCGCCGATTTAAATTGATTCGTACGATTTGTATTTATATGGTGCCTGAATACAACTACATCTCAAGATGTGGTCACAACCACAGGCTGACGTTTGTGTAATTTAGACGGTACTATATTGTGCGTATATATTGAACAGGAGCATGGAGTCAGCAGCACGGATGAGGGGTGTAAGGCAGTTCCATGTTGTGAGAGGGGGCAGCTGAAGAGATGCGTCCACTGAAATCGCATTTGTTGAAAGTCAGTTTATTTACGATGCTTGCAGATATTCTGAAAATGGTGTGCAAATGATACATTTTCGATAGCGGAGGGTAATACAGCCTGTACGAACCGGACAGAGAGAAGAAGCAACGACAAATGAGGTGGAATATTTTCGATTCTAAATTATTGACTCTTGCATTGAATCACGAGTCTGAATAAACTCATTGAATCGCTGGAGCGGGGCCAATGCTTCCTCGTAACTACATCGATTTCATCGATTCACTTTTGGTTTGTGACGCTCGCGAGGCCTGTGTTTAAATCGCGCATGTAAGATTGTGATGTGTGCGATTTAGGCAAATGGCGTGCGAACGCTACGTTTAAATCGACAATTCAGCCAATGGGGGAAGGTGGCTGTTACAAACCTCTCGTGGGCCGTTTGCTTGTTGCCCACCGCTATCGTTTCTTCTCTTCCTCATTCTCATTCTATACTCCCCCCCCACCCCTCCTGCTCTTCTGTCCATGGCCTGGGCACCGTGCGAGAACATTGTTACGGAAGCGTTAACCTTCATCATCCCTTGTGTATCGGCCAAGGTGTGGATGCAATCAGTGCGGCTACACGACCTTTGTGTACCCGAGTCCCTTCATTATTTACCCTGCGTCCTTTTGTAATAAAAGAAAGACCGTGCCATATTAAAGTGGAGGGACACAAAGCAAAAAAAAATCATATACAATATATATGAAGAAATAAATCCCTCCCGAGATGAGAATGGAAGTTGAGCCGCTGTATTGTCGAGTCTGGTCACGGTGGTGAGTTTGCCTTTAATTAAGCAAGACACAGGGGTGGCAGGTAGCGGTGGCAGATGCGCGACTGGTGGGCCGGTAGCCCCTTCCCCGTGCCGTCCCGGTGGGTTTGGACTGCGCGATGCCTGACCGTCTGTACGGTTGGACCCGAGCATCGACTGAAATTACGCAGTTCGCAGAATTCCTCCGTGTACGACCCGCGAGCTTCCAGCTGCAAATTTCTTGACGTCAGCCGGCGCCTTCCTCGGCCGAGAGCCACGTGTAACGGGGCTTATTATTATAAGGAGCACCGCGTTTGTTTTTATCTCGCGGATGATTAGGTAGGGGCACGCACGCTTGGAACGAAATTAAGGATTTGTTTGTAAATGGGGGCACGGAATCCATAGAGACCAATGCAACGGTCACTCTCGAGAGGTGAAATATGGTAAATGGTAAGAGAATGCAAGGTAGACGAAAACAAACTCGTGCTCCAAGATTTTGTCGGAAACTGGCTGGAAGATTAAAATGAATGAAATTTGAAGAACACATTTTACAGGCGATGCTATTATTATTAATATTACGCTTAGAAATCCTCACCGAGTCTCAGGTTTCTGTTTTAAGAGGGTCCTGCCAAGTGTTTGTAGTCGGGGGAGAGATATCGCTGTTATGTGTAATCCCAGTTGAGTAATGTGCAGGTAAAATTTCAGCATTGTTGTGTTTTTTTGGCCAATACCAATAACATGGTATGCTTGGAGGAAACCCATGCAACACAGGGGGAGAGAATGTACAAACGCCATGCAAAAATGTTTCTTGATGGGGAATCGAACCCAGGACTTTCTTGCTATGAGGCACAAGCATTACCTCTGTGCCACTGTGGCCCGAGCTGCAGTAAAATGAGACCTCCTTATTGATTGATTGATCAGTGATATTTATTGGTAAGATTGTAACGATTCGTTGATTAATACCGATGCTTAAGCTCACGATACATTAAGCGGGTAGCGTGCGTATAAATCGGTGTTTTTTCTGTAGCCAACAGTGACCGCTACATTCAGATAGAATGTCAACATAGAGGAAAGGAGAATTGGTTATTGGATCGAACGTGGAAATTCATCGAATTGGGAGTGGTGGAGGCGGATTGACTCATTGTGCCTAATCTGTGTTGCTTTCGAAGAAGACCACCTTCATATAAAATGCTACGTTTGCCTAAATTGGAGCTCATCATTATCCCATGAGAAAGTCAATGTGTAGTGACATCGCGGATGTCACTGTGTAATGCTGGCCCGAGAGAGGCACGGCGTGCGATGTATTGACATCGCAGGCACCACGGACATGTGGGTGCAGTACCGGCCCTAGAGGGGCTCGGTGAGCGCTGACTGACAGTGCTGGATGGAGCCACGCTCTGCGTGCAGTGCCGACCCCGACAGGATAGGATGTGAGAGTGCCGGCCACGGAAATGGGGTTACTAAGGGCCATGGCACTCTGGCTGACCCCGAAGGAGACGTGACCGGTCAAGTCTACACAGGGCCCTCAGGTGGGGGCTAGGGGTGGTCACGTGTCAGGGTCGAGATCCTGCTCGAGGATTCTAGAAGGTGGTCGTGGCCAAGGGCGGGGCCCAGCCACGCCACAGAAGATATACAGTGAGGGAAAAAAAGTATTTGATCACCTGCTGATTTTGTACGTTTGCCCACTGACAAATAAATGATCAGACTATAATTTTAATGGTAGGTTTATTTTAACAGTGAGAGACAGAATGACAACAAAATCGAGAAAAACGCATGTCAAAAATGTTATAAATTGATTTGCATTTTAATGAGGGAAATAAGTATTTGACCCCCTCTCAATCAGAAAGATTTCTGGCTCCCAGGTGCCTTTTATACAGGTAACGAGCTGAGATTAGGAGCACACTCTTAAAGGGAGTGCTCCTAATCTCAGCTTGATACCTGTGTAAAAGATACCTGTCCACAGAAGCAATCAATCAATCAGATTCCAAACTCTCCACCATGACCAAGACCAAAGAGCTGTCCAAGGATGTCAGGAAGAAGATTGTAGACCTACACAAGGCTGGAATGGGCTACAAGACCATTGCCAAGCAGCTTGGTGAGAAGGTGACAACAGTTGGTGCGATTATTTGCAAATTGAAGAAACACAAAAGAACTGTCAATCTCCCTTGGCCTGGGGCTCCATGCAAGATCGCACCTCGTGGAGTTGCAATGATCATGACAGCGGTGAGGAATCAGCCCAGAACTACACGGGAGGATTTTGTCAATGATCTCAAGGCAGCTGGGACCATAGTCACCAAGAAAACAATTGGTAACACACTACGCCGTGAAGGCCTGAAATCCTGCAGCGCCTGCAAGGTCCCCCTGCTCAAGAAAGCACATTTACATGCCCGTCTGAAGTTTGCCAATGAACATCTGAATGATTCGGAGGACAACTGGGTGGAAGTGTTGTGGTCAGATGAGACCAAAATGGTGCTCTTTGGCATCAACTCAACTCGCCGTGTTTGGAGGAGGAGGAATGCTGCCTATGACCCCAAGAACACCATCCCCACCATCAAACATGGAGGTGAAAACATTATGCTTTGGGGGTTTTTTTCTGCTAAGGGGACAGGACAACTTCACCGCATCAAATGGACGATGGACGGGGCCATGTACCGTCAAATCTTTGGTGAGAACCTCCTTCCCTCAGCCAGGGCATTCAAAATGGGTCGTGTATGGGTATTCCAGCATGACAATGACCCAAAACACACGGCCAAGGCAACAAAGGAGTGGCTCAAGAAGAAGCACATTAAGGTCCTGGAGTGGCCTAGCCAGTCTCCAGACCTTAATCCCATAGAAAATCTGTGGAGGGAGTTAAAGGTTCGAGTTGCCAAACGTCAGCCTCGAAACCTTAATGACTTGGAGAAGATCTGCAAAGAGGAGTGGGACAAAATCCCTTCTGAGATGTGTGCAAACCTGGTGGCCAACTATAAGAAACGTCTGACCTCTGTGATTGCCAACAAGGGTTTTGCCACCAAGTACTAAGTCATGTTTTGCAGAGGGGTCAAATACTTATTTCCCTCATTAAAATGCAAATCAATTTATAACATTTTTGACATGCGTTTTTCTGGATTTTTGTTGTTGTTATTCTGTCTCTCACTGTTCAAATAAACCTACAATTAAAATTATAGACTGATTAGTTCTTTGTCAGTGGGCAAACGTACAAAATCGGCAGGGGATCAAATACTTTTTTCCCCTCACTGTAGGCCGGGTCCCCGAGAGCGACCGGCTACTGTTCATCCTGAAGAATCTAATTCTGCGTTCTACGTCCTACAGGGTCACCAACACCTGGACCTGGACCCAATCTGTGGTCCGGTCCGTTGTTGATAGTTACTGTGTAAATTAGTGCAGTTAGCCTGGTGGTCCACCACCGTAGGTTGTTATCTTGTTAAGAGGCAGTTACCCCGTATGTTGGTATTAATTAATGTGTTGCCTCCAAGAAGTGCGTCTGCGACTCAGTTGAACTCACTACAAATGCATAAATAGACATTATAATCCAGATAGACCCTTAATGGGAGAGCACCCTTCTCTGTTTGATACGTCTGGTCATTTGGGGGCACATTAAGAGTGCCGCAGTCGCTGAACAACACCGACATCGAACACGCCATCGTCGTCAGCCTTGATCAGTCCGCTGTTGGATGAAGGCCCTCCCCGAGCCGCCGCCGGCTCTCGCGGTCCGCCACTTGTGACGTTTCACGTAACGGACGTGTCACCGCCTCTCAAATCGTCACGGCACCACGAATCAATTTGTTCGTCAAAAGTGTTGAGGTTTTAATTGCCCTACAAGGTCGAAGAATAACGCGCCCTCCTTGAATTAAATACGCAAGAAAACAGACAGCTGTTGCGAATAATTACGCAGCTGTTGCACCCGTCTCCATTTTTAACCCCGCTTTTCTCTAATGTGGGGGAGAATGTATTCAGCGCGACACGTGGGGGTGGCTTATCGTTTGCGCGTGATTTGATCGGCTAAACAACGAGGTTGCATTTTGTGCCACGGCTATCTCTCCCCGAAATTTTATTTGCACATCGTCCTGGCCCCTCTCGTCAATTGAAGGTTTATTTTTTGTTATTCTTGTTGCGTTTTTTTTTTAAATAAGCAAGTACAATTCTTTTGCAGCGTAATCTCTCCAATAATGGAAGCGTTTGGATTTGTCACGGTTCACGGCGCATTGTTGCCAAGCGCAATGCGCCCCCCCCGCCCGCCGCCGCTAATAACGGGGGCGTAGCGAGGCAAGCTCCGCCGGATTACCGCGTGACCTTCTGCAAGCCTGGCAAAGTCGTGGTGGGTTTTTTTTTCGCCTTCACGGCACAGCTTATTATTATTATTATTACTCGCGCCGGTTGGCAGCACAGGCCACGCGTTGAATAGAGCTGCGCGTTATTACGGAGCGCCTCCACCCACCCCCCCCGACCCTGTTTAAATTAACCACCACGCTGTTGTGGAAATCCGCCAGACCTTTTCATGAATATTTTTTTTGTTCGTTAACTGCATTCCTGTTCTTGGTTCTTTCGGTAAAGTCACGTAGAAGGGAAACAATAAAATAATAAAAATATAAAACAATATTATTTTATTGTTTCCCTTCTACGTGACTTTACCGAAAGAACCAAGAATATGAATCCCTGCAGTCACGAAAGCTTTAAATCAAAACTCCGTTCCTGTTTAATTGTATCTTTTCTTCGAAATCATCCTTTGGCACGCGTGCGCCGCTAAAATCCCACGACCGTCTGTTTACCAACTGGTCCAGCTGACGAGAGGGACTGCGCTTGTTACGCAGCGTTATACGAGTCTGAGTGTGTGCATTCTACGATTATGTGCACGCCTTTTGGTATGTTACCCCTCTGGCTGGATCGGCAGCATCACAATTATGGCAATTACTGGGACCACGTGTGGGTGCGCGTGCTCTCCCGTGTAGCTGTGCCGAAATGGGAAATATTACGATGCACACGTTAGCCCTGGGATCTGTTTAAAATCTGTATGAAACTAAGTACTTCTGATACTCGTTTTTCACCGATCATTACGGTGGATGTGTTATGCGCATGCAGATTTCACAGGGAGCAGCAGCAAATTGAGTTGGCCTTGCCACCGCTGTGTTCTTCACGTTATCATATTTACATACGTATATATTTTTGTATTTCATCACGTCTTCATTCGTGCAGTCTGTTTAAGGGACAAGGTCATCCGTGCTAAAACACCTGCATTTAAAGTCCCGAACGGGAAGCATAATGGATAGAAAATGAATTTCGCACGAAGTAATGCTGCGTCAAAGGGCACGATCATTCGAATTGCATCGTACGTGCTTTCATCTGAAATGGGAATGAGAAACTGCGTGTTTGGGAAACCTTGTAAGTTATTTTTAGAATGCACCCTCGTGCTGCATTAAAACTGCGCCGAATGTTTATCGGAGTTGCTGCCGTGGGTAGCGGCCGTGGCTGGGAATTATCCATGCTCGCCAATCCAAGGTGCACCTCATCCCCCTCTGGGAAGAGGCTGCCGCTGGCCTTTGTGATGAATTCTACTTCATGTTAACTGGTGCACGCTGGCGGTCACATGTCCGCATGTGTTCGTGTGTGGATGCGTGCTGGCACGTGCGTACGTGCGTATGGGTGGAGTGGGACATGACAAACAGTGTTAAATATTTGAACCATCCTGGGCCTTTCCAAGGTCGCCTGGGCCTTAAATGAATACCAGGTGCTTTGTGTAAACATTAGCACTTGGAAGACAAAGGCGGCCAGGCGTGTGATGCTGGCCCACCTTCATAAGTGCTTGCTAACGGCATTTGCCCCAACAGCCTATTAAGACTATGGGGGGGGGGGGTTCTTTGTCTTCGTACCTGCGCGTGGGAGCATGCGAGTGCTCACCCGTGTGTGCCTATGCACGTGCGCACTGACGTGTGTGCACGTGCGTCGGCAGATCTCCCTGGGGAAGGTGCTTCGAGCGCTGGTGGTGATGCGAAGCCTCATCCTTGAGCGTGTCGTTGTCAAGGCTCTTCACGAGAACATTCAAACCGAAGATGGCAAGGTATGACCCCGGGGCCGCATTAACAAAGAGGCCAACGTTGCCCCCGGCCCTTCTACCCCAGCCGGAGAGGGGTGAGGGGCAGAGGGGCAGGGAGAACTGTCGGGGGGGGCCCTTCTAGACTAAGCTATTCGGTGGCCAGGAGGTCAATTTTGTGAATGCAGCTTTCGTTGACGTGGGCGTGAAGCCCTTCAAGGTTCACGGCCCAGTGTGCAACAACTTTGACCTCGGCTGCACTCGTGTGGAAGCCTCCGATGGCCCAGTGCCACCGTTGTTTTGCACCCAGTCCCGCACCGCACACGCCATTCGCCTTCGTGTTCTGTGTCACATTCAGCAAACGAATTAAGAGGTCCGATGAGAGTGATTGCATTAATCTCCTAAGCCATTCACCAATGGTGTTTGTGATTTTTGTGTTATTGCCACTGGCAGAATTTGTTTTCCGATTGTGCGCGTAGTAGAGTTATTTATATGAACGCGGTGCACAATAACCAGGCGAGAGCTGATTTCCTAAGGAGACTTGAGTGGATACGCGAGGGAAGTTATGAATTTTTGTTTGCAAATTTGTTTTGAAAAAATGTCAATTGGTATGTTGATTATAACTTACACACACATGCAATCTTGATTCTAGAGATAATTTCACAGGGTCTTTTTAGTCAACTTCACAGCAAAAACGTATGTATCGGTGCCCTGTAAAATTAATCCGTAAAATGTATTGGGTGGCCTAAATAGAAGCTAATTTCTGCCTCTTTTGCAAGTGGAGTGCTTTCTGCACGTTTCTGAATGGTAATTTGGTCACCGGTTTATCTGAAGTGTTGCACTCTAATCGCTGCACGCTACATATTATTGAGGAAAAATAATTACACGGAGAACCGCTAATAAAAATTTAAACACCGCATTCCGTGCGGCATGAGTTGAAGGGGTTAACGCTTGGAGTTGGAGTGAAAAACCTCCATATCAAGGTCATGCAAATATTGTGCCATTGCCAGACAAGCATCTGTCAGGTCGGGCGCATGCCTGCTGCGATGTTTTTTAAAATGAAAAATTGCCCGCAATAAATTTCCCGCCACGTCCCAGAGATTTACACAAGTTGTTTAGCACCAATTATCGTTGTAATGGCACAGACCATTTAAGTCAGACCCAACCCCCGCTTCAGCGACGCCGTTTCATTTCACACCACCCACCGGCGTGTCTCGTACATCCAACATTTGCCCTCGCTGCCCCGTTACCTTTGCGGTAGCGGCTAAATTGAAATTGATTAACTTTAAAATAAATTATAATACACTCAGCGCGTGCCGCCGTAGCTTTGAGGAGGCGCTGCGGCTGTAAATGCAGGTTAAGCTTTGGCCCAGGGCTCTTCCCCTCTCGGGGTTTCCTAGTATTTATATTTATCCTCCAGGCAGCTGATTGATGGGAGAGCTGGGTTCCTCGTGGGCGCTCTGCGTAGCGACTCCGCCGTGTTTGCGAACACGGCCATTTCTCCTCTCGCTCGCGGGAGGAATTTGCCGCGTGGCCTCTGGCGCCTCGGAGATGACCTCGTGCCACCCGCTCCTCCTTTTTGTCGCCCGGAAGTTCCCCTTGGGTCTTTATTGAGGAGGCGATAGCCCGTCTCTCGATGGCGACTCCCTGCCCCCACCTGCTGGCCGTGCCTGCATCACGGCCGAACGGGAATTGAGTGGCTCGTTTGGGAATTTGGAATATTTATTCTGGAGGAATCCGATGAGCTGTGAGGCTCTTTTTCACAGATGTCTGGTAGGGCTGGGTCAGCAAGTTACAACAACAAACAATATAACAATTACAGTCGGAGTGCAAAGTAGAGAAGAGGTAAGCAAGTCACTAATCCTAAATAAATAACAACGTACACAGTGTAAATACAAATTAGAGAAGCATCAGCCACATGAGAAACAATGCGATAGGTATCATGATCATCGTCGTTGTTCTCACTTCATTATCTACTATTGCACTTATACATATACCAAAATTATACGAATTCCACCGAGAGACAGGAAGTGGAACGCATGAATTAGAGAACATACGAAAGCTATAAACGTCATGTCGACTGGTTGAGAGTAAGTGGGCTTGGGCAGGATTGCGTCGCTCGAAAGGACGCTGATCGGTGGTCGAGGCTAGTGACGGAGAGGCAGCCCAAGGAAGGGGAACATTCCCCAGAGTGTCTGTCGTGGAGGTGGGAGCGATGGACTTGGCTCATGTGTAGATAGGTGTTGGATTGGATTGTTGCAGTGCAAGACCACGACAGATGGCGGCGGCCTGGGAGAAGCCTTCAACCAGCGGTGGATAGATCATAGCTGATATTGATGACATGCATCCACGAGGCAGTTTGTATATTTACACGTGAACAAAGCGGGGAGCAATAATTTTAAGCAATCAAGAGAAAACCCAGTGGCCAAAAATAGTAATTATATTATCAACGTACAGTGAGGGAAAAAAGTATTTGATCCCCTGCTGATTTTGTACGTTTGCCCACTGACAAAGAAATGATCAGTCTATAATTGTAATGGTAGGTTTATTTGAACAGTGAGAGATAGAATAACAACAAAAGAATCCAGAAAAACGCATGTCAAAAATGTTATAAATTGATTCGCATTTTAATTTGGGAAATAAGTATTTGACCCCCTCTCAATCAGAAAGATTTCTGGCTTCCAGGTGTCTTTTATGCAGGTAACGAGCTGCGATTAGGATCACACTCTTAAAAGGAGTGCTCCTAATCTCAGCTTGTTACCTGTATAAAAGACACCTGTCCACAGAAGCAATCAATCAATCAGATTCCAAACTCCACCATGGCCAAGACCAAAGAGCTCTCCAAGGGTGTCAGGGACAAGATTGTAGACCTACACAAGGCTGGAATGGGCTACAAGACCATTGCCAAGCAGCTTGGTGAGAAGGTGACAACAGTTGGTGCGATTATTCGCAAATGGAAGAAACACAAAAGAACTGTCAATCTCCCTCGGCCTGGGGCTCCATGCAAGATCTCACCTCGTGGAGTTGCAATGATCATGAGAACGGTGAGGAATCAGCCGAGAACTACACGGGAGGATCTTTTCAATGATCTCAAGGCAGCTGGGACCATAGCCACCAAGAAAACAATTGGTAACACACTACGCCGTGAAGGACTGAAATCCTGCAGCGCCCGCAAGGTCCCCCTGCTCAAGAAAGCACATATACATGCCCGGCTGAAGTTTGCCAATAAACATCTGAATGATTCAGAGGACAACTGGGTGAAAGTGTTGTGGTCAGATGGGACCAAAATGGAGCTCCTTGGCATCAACTCAACTCCCCGTGTTTGGAGGAGGAGGAATGCTGCCTATGACCCCAAGAACACCATCGCCACCGTCAAACATGGAGGTGGAAACATTATGCTTTGGGGGTGTTTTTCTGCTAAGGGGACAGGACAACTTCACCGCATCAAAGGGACGATGGACGAGGCCATGTTCCGTCAAATCTTGGGTGAGAACCTCCTTCCCTCAGCCAGGGCATTGAAAATGGGTCGTGGATGGGTATTCCAGCATGACAATGACCAAAAACACATGGCCAAGGCAACAAAGGAGTGGCTCAAGAAGAAGCACATTAAGGTCCTGGAGTGGCCTAGCCAGTCTCCAGACCTTAATCCCATAGAAAATCTGTGGAGGGAGCTGAAGGTTCGAGTTGCCAAACGTCAGCCTCGAAACCTTAATGACTTGGAGAAGATCTGCAAAGAGGAGTGGAACAAAATCCCTCCTGAGATGTGTGCAAACCTGGTGGCCAACTACAAGAAACGTCTGACCTCTGTAATTGCCAACAAGGGTTTTGCCACCAAGTACTAAGTCATGTTTTGCAGAGGGGTCAAATACTTATTTCCCTCATTAAAATGCAAATCAATTTATAACATTTTTGACATGCGTTTTTCTGGATTTTGTTGTTATTCTGTCTCTCACTGTTCAAATAAACCTACCATTAAAATTATAGACTGATCATTTATTTGTCAGTGGGCAAACGTACATAATCAGCAGGGGATCAAATACTTTTTTCCCCTCACTGTAACTAAACCACTTTTTCATGACCCAAGTGAAGAATTCACGTATGTATGTAAGTTGAACTTTCGCAATGTACGTAGGCAACCGTGTTAATTGGGGAAGGACAACAAACGAAGCACAAAAAACCGTTGTAAAGAAATGCGTTTTCAATTGAGATTTAAACTATAAAAAAACAATGAATCAAAATGTAACCTGTGCCTTTGATTTAACGTACTGTTTATGTTCTACGAGGGAGGCTTGGCTATCTATTTAAAAAAAAAACTTACACAATGCATGTCATTAACACTACAGCACCTTGTTATAATATTTTATTGTTTGTTATATCTTGCTGACCCGTGCCTATTGAGCATCTGTGAAAAAGAGCTTCATAGACCATCGGATTCCTCCAGTCGAAATAAAGATTCTGATTCTGAATTAAATTCATAAGGCGCCATTTTAGCAATTGATCTCGGAGCACCGTGCGTATGAAGGAGGAAAATCGGTGAGATGTAACCGGGGAGAGAAAGCAAAAGAGACGAGATAGGATCTAGAGGAGAGAGAGGGTCCGTGTTAAACAGGTGGTGGGGGTCTTCAGCCAGGACTTAAACGTCTTCGTCGTCGCCAACTTCCTGACCTCCCAAGGGCAAAAAAAAAATGTGAATGTCGCAGTATGCCCATCAAATAGAGCCTAACAGCTTATTGAACCATTCCTGCTGAAGTAAATAAGATGTACCTTATCTATCTAATGTGAAGAACATCTACAGCTCAAAATATTACCAGACTGTGTTTTCTGTCAAAAGGGGGGGGGGCAGTGTTAACGACACACCGAGTGAGGTGGAGGTTTTTTCCCGTTAATTTGCACTGGCAAACCACAGCCAACACATTACGGTTATTGTTTATTTTTGTTTTACACGAAAAAGCCGTTTCGTGTGGCACGTAATTTAGCTGCCAGCTATTTCCCAGTTTTATATTTGACTTTGAAACGATCACGCCACAGTGGAAGATTGTGTTTTTTTATATTTTCACCTGTTAAGTGCTCACTTTTCAGAAGAAGATGGGGGTGTTATTTATTTCTTGTTTTTTTTCAAAAGTGTCCGTACATTATCGAGTGGCTGCAGGAATCAAACTGGCCCCCGCGTAATCTGGCTCGATAACGATGCCACTGATTGCCGGAGTGGCTGCTTCTCCCAGCTGATTTGTCTGCATTGTTTGCATTGCTTCTCCCCGCGGTGAACCCTGTCATTATCGCCCCCCCCCCGCCCCAACCACAGTTGGATTTGTGGTCCAAATCGCGTTACCTGGTATTTCAAAAGGTATGCCTTTTTATTATGACTTTCCTCAAACGTTTCTTCCGTTATGTGTACACTTTTTTGAGAGAAGATGATCAGCAGATAGTATCGGCTGATCTTTAGAACAAAAGCCTGAGCTCACACACACATTTTACACATTTACATTTCAGAAAATGTGTTAAAAGAGCAAGTGTCCGTATTATCTCAAAGCCGGAAAAATTGTACAATGCACTCGCGGCAGAAGGGCAGAGCGGAGTTTTTTTTTCTTCCCTTTCGTAAATTGCAACTCCGGCGGTGTAATTATGGAGGCAATGCTGTGCGTCACTCTCGAAGTTTTAATTTATCACAAAATCCAGAGGAAAAAGACGTCGTGCGATTGTGACTTGGCGACGCGTCTGTTATTACTTCCACCGCTGTAGAAATATTGTGTTTGTGCACATGCATTATTGCGGCTGCCACTCATTGCATCACTTTTAAAATACTTTCAGCTCATTTGCAAAGCCCTTTGAAATATTCTGTCATTTCAAAGAAATTGCCGTACACACACAAAAAAATGTAATTTATGGATTGTAGCTTTGTAAAAAAAAATCTCCTTCGGCTATATTTATAGCTGTCGGAAGCACGGTGTACATTTTGCGTGAGAATATATTTTGACAATGGAAACATCGTTTTATTTCCATAATTACTCTCGTGCGGGTTTGCGGAGACAGTTTAAGTGTTATGCATTAAAAGAAGGCTTATCCGTGTCCAGCTTTAAAGTTCCTTTTGGAGATGCACCAACTGTTTTTTTTTCAAAGTCGGACGATGCTTCTATTAATGTGTCATCTTGCTTTAGATGCGAACATTTAATTGAATGAAAAAATCAAACAGATACCAACCAATTTCCTTGCTAAGCAAAAGAGAACGCTCATATATTTTCAGGCACTCAGGTTATTTTTGTTCATTGTGCTCAAAAACTCACTCTGCTTGTCCATTTAATTAAAAGGATTGCAGACCTTGCGCTAAATGTCTGTTGGAAATGTCAACACACTGAATGTTTAATCATTGCCGTGTCTGTCTTATAATATGGGATTTTTTTTGGATTGTTGGTGTTGGCTTGGTAACCAATTTATTTTGATAAGCAGTGCCTGGAAACAAAGTCAATATATTTTCCCTAACCCTAACATTATCGTTTCAGGTGACTGATCATGCCACAGCTGCCTCTCTGCACTATCAGCTCCCACATTTGCCAGAAGTAGTCATCCGCTCTTTCATGGTAAGGAATGTTTTTAACAGTTTTTTAACGAAGGTTGAGAGCATTAATGCATAAGCTCTGTCCGTCCATCCATCTGTCTATAGAGTGGGTAAGCAAGACAACTCTCATAAAGATTAACCAATATGAACAGAATTTTAGAATAAAGTTGTTAACCAATGAGCACCGTCTCCGAAAGAAAACAGGACCGAATTGATGGAAGCATTGTCCAAAGCTTGGTGATAAAAAAAAATCCAGGATTATCCTTATCAGTTGAGGCAATGACATCATTGCAGGTGATATCATCTTTCTGTCACGCATCATGCACGCTCCTAACCTCCCGATGACGTCATTGCACGTTAAGCCATCTTTGCAACGTGATCTCGTTGTGCTGGTGTGAAGTATAATTATTGCCGCTAATTAAATACTTCCGAGGGCAAACGCTTGTTGGAAGGCGTTACCGAATCTATGTGCTTTCCATAATGTTTGTTGCTCGTTTAATTTTGACACCTTCAAACATTGGCGTAGTGTATTATGAGGGTGTGAATGCCGATTGGATTATCCCATTTAATTCCCTCCTAGCCAGGTCTGCACCTCTCTTCATTATTACAAATAGCACTTTCACAACCCTGCATATATTTTTAAACCCCTGTAACATACATTTCGGTCGGGTTGACGATCCTAAAAATATTTCCGCACCTGGCACACCACATCCAGTATACCTTTCGCTATGGGCAGTGGCTACTTTCGTCACGTTCCGCTGACTATTCTCTCAAGTGACTCGGAAAATTTCGAGTGGGAAATTAAGCCCCGATTGTACCTGCTCGCTTAGATAACCTTTGACCTGTATCCTGTTTCTTGCAGATGTGGATGCACAGCTACATCTCTTTGTTCCAAAGCACGTGTCAACGCTGCGGCAAGCAGCTGCAGGATGGTCTTCCGCCAACGTGGAGAGATTTCCGCACCCTCGAGGCTTTCCACGACACCTGCCGCCAGTAGCACACACCTGAGCGTCTGGGAGGACTCTGGGGTAGAATGTTGAACCCAGGTTAGATACGTTTGTACTCAGCCGTCCGATGTCGTTTTCAGGTTGTACCGAGTGTTGTTCAGCGCGATGTCCCGATGTTTCGTTCCACCTGCTGGGAGATTTTTTTGGGGAATTGAATTGAGCAGCCCACCTACACCGTCAGTCGTATAGTGTTGGCCATTGTTGATGAAGTTGCTGGTTCCATTTCGCTGAGCTCAGCTTTCTGACGTATGGCCGGCAAGTGGGCGTATTTCGCTAGCTGGTGCACGGAAACGTCGGGCATCATGCCAGTCAACATTTGGTACAACCCAAAAACACATCGGAGACCTATAAGGTACAACCGCATAAAACCTACGCGGTAAATGTTGTACTTTCTGGTACAGTAAAACCTTGGATTGCGAGTAACTTGGTCTGCGAGTGTTTTGCAAGACGAGCAAAAATTTTAAGTAAATATGAATTTGATAAACGATCGAGGTCTTGCAGTACGAGTAGTACGTATACGCTTTGTTTGCCGAGCGTCACGTGATCACAACTGATATACGAGTGCTTTGGATTACAAACACGTTTCCGGAACAAATTATGCTCGCAGTCCAAGGTTTTACTGTATTTTTTTTGTCCATGTACAGCGTTTTGTCAACCGACTACTGGATGAGGGCCTGTTCACGCCTTGTCGGTCGTTGGGGTTATTTAACCATAACTTCACCACAGTGCTTGTTGGTTAAAGTAACCAGTTTCATAGCACATTATTTGGCACAGTGCGCTATAACATGTGGGAGTACCTCAACACTTTTACCCTACCTATACCAATCGTCAAGCTGTGGTACAGACACATTTGCCCAGTGCTTGAACTGCCGTGCTGCTGGGAGATGGAATCGAAGCGGCGACCTCTGGATCGCAAGTCGAGTGCGCTCACCATCACACCACGGCAGCATCCACTTTAAAGCGATGTACAATAACTTGAGGTTTATATTGATGATCCTCGTAGAAACTGACGCGCATGCATTCACATTGGAGCCTGGCACGGCAGCGTGTAGTAATTGTGATAGGGAATTGTTAGTCTTGGAGGTAATTAGGTAACCACTCAATTAGTAACAGATGGGGAGAGGGGGGGAGTTGGGTCTTTCAAATTGTTAATATTTTGTAGGCAGCGTTCTGCATTTAATAAATATACCACGTGGCCATATTTTTCTGTGTGTGATTTCCTTTATGAAGCATGAATTATTAAAGTGGTTTGAGCAATCGTATAACCTGTTTTGTGGTCTTGCACAGAATATTAAAGGCAAACCTCACCGAACGCAGAGGTTACATTCCTGGAAAATGATGTGTTGGACAAAACCACGTTTGACAAATATTAGACCCTATGCGAAAAACAGGGTTGCATTCCTGGGTCCAAAATGATCACCCCCTCCCTCTTGTTTAACCAATTCTACATGATTTCCGCCCTTGCTTTACCAATCGCTGTCCATTTACTGCGTGCACACTTTTTAAATTTAACACAAAACCGCCGTGCCAATCACGCCCAACGCTGACACTGCGTTCCCAGCCCGACGCTCGCCCCGAACGCGGTCACTTGAATTTTAACCATTTGCCATCGAGGCGTCCGTATGGCTGACGTCCTCGACGACTGGGCGGCTGGATGTGACCTCCAATGTTGCGACATGCTGATGATGTACACGTGTTTTTACCAAATGATGAGATGCACAAACTTATGCCCGTATCAATAAAGTTATACAAATATCGGGTCACATGCACACTCGCATGCATACCGAAATTATAATTCGTACCCCCAACTTTTTAAATTAAAAGTACAGGGGAATAAAAAAAATTAAATCGTATAATCGGGACATTGTGTTAGGTGTAAGAATCGATCATTGTTTATTAAAATCTTTCCGTTATTGCTACCACTATGGATTCTACATGAATCACAATGCCAAAATAATTGGTTGGGGAAGTTAATCACATTGTGACCTTGAATCGTGTCAATCCATCAAATCCTTTCATGGGGAGTCACTGAGCCGAGTGTCTTGGAAAACAAATTATCACACACAGTGTACCATATTGTCTCACAAAATAAAGGTCTTGTTTAGAGTGTGCGGATGTTAACTACCTCGCCTGGTATACAGGAGGTCGTGTGTTCGATCCCGACCCTGACGCCTGCTGCTGTATATTTGAAGTTTGCTTGTCTCTCTCTCCCCGTGGTCGTGAGATTTTTTTTCTCCTCGTCCTCCGGTTTTTACCCTTCGCGTTTAGAAACGTGCGTTTCGAGTATTAGGCTGCGATGAAATATCCACATGATAAGCCACTTCGTTGAGCTATCATGTGTGATAGCCAGGTCACTTATTAAAAAGAGCTATATATAGATCAGTGGGTATATTACCTGGTAAAATAAAAAGTTTAAAGAATTGTTAAATGTCTGGCCATCTGTGGCGGATATACGATACAACTATCAACAGTGGATTGTCGAGTGTGTAAATTAGGCGTAATTTATGGGGGAGATACTTAAAAACGTACTTCAGTGCCATCAACATTATTTCAGGACCCCCCCTAAATTACTACAATTCATTCTAATAATGATTAAGCTTCGCTCCATATTGTATCATTAATTTCCGACCATTAGGCTAAATGCACACAATTTGTGCAAGTCTTGATACGGGCCATGTAATTTATTGCAAGCATCGTACGGATAATCTATCCTCATCGTTACATGCCTATTACAGTCAAACAAGTCGCATTGAAGTTGATTATAAACTGTTTGAGGGATACAGCCACAGAGCTATATTTGTACAAATCTAGACTCATTTGTGAAGGCACAACGGGATGAATATTCAGAAATAATTGGGCAAACACTTGTTGGGCTTGGAATGCAGCCAGAGTTTACGCTTAATTCTGATCCGCTCTTGATGTATATTTGCGTCGTCTGCTGAACATCTGTGGGGGGGGAAAGAGCTTTGTCGCTCATCGGAATCCTCCAGTATAAATACTGATTCTGATTTCAGGTTTCCATTGTATTTGTGTTGCATCATCACCACCAGGTAATTTGTTTATCCACGTGAGATAATTCTCACCTGGGTCACCAACAAACAAATTACCTGGCGGTGGTGATACACAGCGGGGCATAAAAAAAACACAAACAGCAACACGATCGTCCACAACACGCGTTCAACGGACGGCCAATGCCCGAAACGTCGCCCCGCGTTACATATTTTACTCCCTTTAAAGGCCACGAACACGCAATGTTGTGGACAAACGTGTTGGCTCTGGTTAAACAACTGATCGCGATTCGGTACGCGACGCAACCCCCGAAAATAAAATAAAAATAAACCCTTAGCAATTAATAATTATAAAAAAAAAGCTAAACGCGTTTCGCTGCTCTCCCCGTGGTTGTTGGCGGTCTCCATGGCGACCAGAAAGGCGGCGCGGCCTAGCAATTCGAGCGGGCAAGTAAACGCACCCTCCTCTTACTTCGCACACATTCTACAATTTAGCAATTAAATTGTTAAGGGTTAGGGGGGGCGAGGGCCTGTCTATCGTCGCGCACGTACACCACATGTAGGGCGACAACGCGCATTCGACGCGGTGACATGTCGGCGGCGCTCGTGTTTTTTTTTAAGATTGCGATGCTGCTGCGCGCTTAGCCCGTGGGGTTTTGTTGTCATTTATTAACGAGAAGAAAATCTCTCGGTGAGTGGCAGTGTCTTGAGAGAGAGAGAGGCAGGGGCGCAGGGGTGTTAGACGTACAAACCGCGGAGATGGAGCGATAAAATCAGCCGCGGTGCGGGAAGGAAAGGGAGCGAGGTTGGACGATGGCAACGCCGCGTGGCCGTGTCGCCGATTTGCTCGGGAAGGTTACGGAGGGACGCCTTCATCCAGCAGTGGAGACGATACAAGGCTGTAATTGTTATTGCACCGCGCGGACGATACAGTGTGTCCGATGTTGCCGAATCTCGGAAGCTCGGCGTGGTTGAAGGCTGCGTAGAGCCGTGCCTTTATCAAGGGCCACCACAGCGCATAACAGGCGTTAAATGTTGCGGGGGGGGGGGATAAGTTGTGGAACAGCGGAGAGCCGTGCAGCAAAATCCATCGTTGTACTGCACTTCTACGTGCCGTTTGTCGTCACCAAACGCCACTGACCGGCGTGGTGAAGTATGGTCAAATGACGCCCACCTCCCCCAGGGTGCTTTGTGGATTGACAAAGCACCCTGGGAGTGGGCGTCATTTGACCATACTTTGACAAAGCACCCTGGGCTGTTGTTCTAAAGAGTTGCTGAAGCACAGGCCTAAAGGCTCAAAAACGCCAAGCCGCCAGTAAGAAACAGCACTGTCACAAGTGAGCATCGATAAGACTTCAAACCGCTACGCGCTTCTCTCGCCAAGCACGATCTTCCCATTGATGGCGGGAGCGAAAGTCTTTTTTTAACGTTCATACTTATCCATGCTGCATATCACAGATTGATCATACACTGACTCACTCACATCATACACTGACTCACTCATCATACGCTGACTCACACATCTTACACTCACTCACACTACCACTGACTCACATCATACACTGACTCACTCATCATACGCTGACTCACTCACACATCATATACTCACACAACCACTGACCCATTCACTCATCATACAATGATTCACTCATAATACACTCACTCAATACGCTGACTCACTCACACATCATACACTCACTCACACTACCACGGACTCACACATCATACACTGACTCACTTATACGCTAACTCACTCACACATCATACACTCACAACCACTGACCCATTCACTCATCATACAATGAATCACTCATCATACACTCACTCATAATACGCTGACTCACTCACACATCTTACACTCACTCACACTACCACTGACTCACACATACACTGACTCACTCATCATACGCTGACTCACTCGCACATCATACACTCACACAACCACTGACCCATTCACTCATCATACAATGATTCACTCACTCATAATACGCTGACTCATTCACACATCTTACACTCACTCACACTACCACTGACTCACACATCATACACTGACTCACTTAGCATACGCTGACTCGCACATCATACACTCACTACCATTGACTCACACATCATACACGGGGAGTGTCATGCTGACAGATATGGCTGCAAGTTTGTTCGTACATATTATGTATATCGTTTATTGTTAAATTTGAATCAAAAGTTCCTATGATTACTGTTGTTACATTATATTTTATAGCTTTATTTTGGTGATTTCTAAAACATATGATTAAGCCATGTTTCGTGCGGAAGTGCGGAGTTGGCCTGATAACTTGAATCTAAATTGTCTTATGGTTGTTATTATTTGTCTTGCATCACACTGGGATTTTTGCACACAGCGTTGTAATACGGTGAGTTGTTTTTTTTTCTGGAAGATTTGCTGGTTTATCCAGGATGTTGCTGTTGCGCGTCGTCGCTTTAAGACGTTATCTGTTCATATTTAGTTTGTCGCGGTTGTACCCGACTCGAGAGCCGCATTGCTCACAGGGCCACACCTAATAAATGAAACTTGAAAACTTGAATTTAAAAATATATATTTTAAATTGTTTGACCTGCACTGGATTGAACCGCTCCCGGGGTTCGTAAATTCACTTCGCAGTAGGATGATTTCATCATCATCATCAGCAATGAGCAATCCACTGCTGGATGAAAGCCCCCTAACAAACCACTGCCGGCATCTCACGATATGGCCCAATGCAACGATCCATTTAGCACCTTGTTGACTTTCCCCCGCACCTCCGATTAGCACGGTTGGCTACGTACGGTGCGAAAGAAGTTCAACATAGCACGGTTGGCTATGTACGGCGTGAAAGAAGGTCAACTTACATAGCACGGTTGGCTGTGTACGGCGTGAAAGAAAGTCAACATAGCACGGTTGGCTTAGTACGGCGTGAAAGAAGTTCAACATACATAGCACGGTTGGCTTAGTACGGCGTGAAAGAAGTTCAACATACATAGCACGGTTGGCTGTGTACGGCGTGAAAGAAGTTCAACATTGCACGGTTGGCTATGTACAGCGTGAAAGAAGGTCAACATAGCACGGTTGGCTTAGTACGGTGCGAAAGAAGTTCAACACACATAGCACGCAAACTGCTCTCGTCACTACATCTCTGTGGTAGTTCGTGCTCGGACGCGTTCCATCCCTTGGCTGTCACTCCGTTGTTATAATTCTTGACTATCGTCATTCCGTCTGGCGATGTGGCCTGTCCCAAGCACGGTCACTGTTATCATTACTACCGGACAACTCTGAAAAAGAGCTTCACAGCTCATCGGATTCCTCCAGTACAAACATACATTATGATGAATAGTTTTAGGTCTGTAACCTGCTTATGGTTCTGAGCATGCATCCACCTGGCCATGCTTCTTATGCACAACCTTTGAGTGGTCGTGCTCTATTCCAATCAAGAGCCATCATCACACACGCATATTTGTACATAAATCTATGTTTTGGTGTAGGAAACGCATATGTCGGACAAGCTTGGTTATTTGCATTGACAAAGAGTATTCGTCTCTGAATTCACATTGCCCAGCGAGCAACAGTTGTTGATATTCTTGGTTCTTTCGGTAAAGTCACGTGGATTAAAAAAAATGTGTTTAATGAAAGCAAAAAACCACGACGTTTCGATCGCAACACAAGCGGACTTCATCAGGCGGAGAGAAAATATATTTTGGTTTAAAGCTTTCTTGACTGCAGGGATTCATAATCTTGGTTCTTTCGGTAAAGTCATGTAGAAGGGAAACAAAATAATACAAAAAACTAAATAAAAAATATAAAACAATATTTATATTATTTATTGTTTTATATTTTTATTATTTTATTGTTTCCCTTCTACGTGACTTTACCGAAAGAACCAAGAATAGAAAAGAGGTTGACAAGAAAACACAAATCAAGTCATGGACCAAAGTGGTTGATGACATCTTTCCAATGATTTCTGAGTTTAAAACCATCGTCTCGGTTGAAATTGTGTCTGTATATATGGATGGCTTCGTGAACGAATATTTGTTGATAGTCAGTCGGCTTGCAAAGTACCATCGTCTTAGAGAAATCAATTTCACGTGAGCCAGCCGCATTAAAGTAATGATCAGCCACGGCAGAAGTGTTGGTCCTGCCGTGTTTCAGATCTGCCTTATGTTCACGAAGACTGTCCGAGACATGTCACTTAGTTTCCCCGATGTTACTGCTGCCGCAGATACAGCTAATGAACACTGCTAAACAAGCTGTCTTTCCGACAGCTCTGTTTCTTCACCTGAGGACGGCTGCTTGCGTTGTGGCCGAAACGTCGTGAGAATTTAATTTTATCATGTTTTCTTTTTATTATTTTATTATTTCCCTTCTACGTGACTTTACCGAAAGAACCAAGAATATGAATCCCTGCAGTCACGAAAGCTTTCAATCGAAATTTAACCTTGTCAACGTCTAACTTTTTAATGTTTGGATCTGGTTTCTTCGCCCTCCCTCCCCCCATTGTCTAACGCACTCGCTTTACTTGTGCTACTTGTGGTGCTTTGCTCCTCCTCCATTGGCGCTGGCTGCCCCGCCCATGCTGTTTACACCACACAGCTTTGCTCACGGTGAAAGCCCTTAGAAGCAGTTGCATTTGGAGGCTTGCCCCCTCTTTTCTCTCCGCCAGATGAAGACCGCTTGTGTTGCAATCGAAACGTCGTGGTTTTTTGCTTTTATTTTTATTTACTTTTTCATTTTATTTTTTATCTTCTATTTTTATTTTCTATCTACGTGACTTTACCGAAAGAAGCAAGAATATTAATTCCTGCAGTCACGAAAGTTTTTAAGTCAAAATTTAAGAGTTGTTGATATTGAACGACTCAGCAGCACCCTCTGCTGTTAGCAACAACAAAACACGCAACACAATCGTCAATAATACCGTGGCTTTAAAATAAATAATAAAACACATTTAATTAACGACGTTTCGGGCTATGGCCCTTCCTCATTGCATGTAAATGATAGCATGTAATTCATGGTGCATATCAGAATACTTATTTATACTGGAGGAATCCGATGAGCTATAAAGCTCTTTTTAAAGAGATGTCCAGCAGAGGCGGGTAAAAACGTTGCAACAAACAATACAAAAACATGATATACTGTATCATAATAGCACATACATTATGTCAGTCTAGCTTGAATCAATGCGGGTGAACTGCCAGATATGAGCAAGGCCCCTTTCTTGAAGATATGGGTCCGAGTTTCCACGCAAAAGTATATCTTGATTTAAAGCTTTCGTGACTGCAGTAATTCATATTCTTAGCTTTTTCGCTAAAGTCACGTTGAAGGGAAACAACAAAACAACAAAATATATTAAAAAAATATATATTTTTATTGTTTTATATATGTTTTGTTGTTTCCCTTCAACGTGACTTTACCGAAAGAGCTAAGAATACAAAAGTATATCGTTAATATACAAATAAGATGCAAAGAATTGTCTGTGTAAGTTTACTTTTAAGCAACACAGTTCCGTATTCTATCTACTAGTGGGGGAGGGGAGCGGTAGAGCGGTGGTTAGATCACTGCAAGCATCACCTCCGCACCTTCGATTAGCACGGTTGGCTACGTACGGTGCGAAAGAAGTTCACCGTGCACGCATCAGTGACGAAGTGATATCTCATCTGTGGCCAGCGTGGTGAAGTATGGTAACCCTCACGGCCGTCGATTAATCAACATAGGGGTCTGTAAAGTATGTATTCAATAATTTGCGGAATATATCTCGTTAATTTAAGTCGGGTGCCTCCCTGTACATGGTTATTGTTGGTTTAATTAGAATGGACGAGTGTAAAATAGAGTAATTGATTAATTGATGGCGCGTCGTGTGAACGAGACGGATTACTCCTTGGCCTCAATGTCCGTTTGCATTAGTTAAGTGGATTTTTTTTCCCAAGCACCTGCATTTTAGCTTTTCACACCAACAGCTGTGAGAATTGAATGACCAAGCCCAGATTGCACAGCACGCAAAAAAACAACCCACATGTAGTCGGAATAATTGGTCAATAGCAACAATTGATTGCCTTTGTGTGACTTAATTGAACATGAGTTGTTGGAGGGTCTCCGTTGATAAGGTTAATTTCCCATGCTGGACGATGACCACGACTGAGAGTGTCGAAGCGGTGCTGGCTGCGTGCCACGTGGACAAGGAACAAAAGCGGCCCAGTTGGTGACTTGCAATCAGGTTGCAATTTTAAATCCCGGTTGGGTCGGTTGACTCAGCCCATCATCCTTCCGGGGTCGGTAAATTTGGTACTACTTTGTGGGAAAGTCAACCGTGGTTGTGCTATGGAGTGGCATGCCCCCACCATAGGCATGCAGAATTTTCTACCACTGACTCAGGTATGTGAACAGGAGATGAGCACCACCTCCATACTCATTTTAGCAAGAAATCACTGACTTCGAGTTTAAAAGCAACTTGAACATTTTGCAGAAGGCCGTACCAGGGTTGTCTATGGATGTGGATCGCCGTCAGGACAATGGAGAGGAGAGCTGCAGTACACAGGTATGTGTAAAAAATAATAATCGTGCGAGGGTACATTTCAGCACCTTAAAATAAAAATACAACGTAGATCCATCGGCCGATGGACACGGCGGCTCCATGAATCCCAGCTGCATTTGTAAAGACAGAAGAAATGTAGACAGGTTTCCAACCACTGTAATTATCTGTTTATCGCACATTAATTCCAAAATAGATGTCTTATTTCCATACTAAATGAGTTACGTGTTACAATGTTTGGTGTATTATTACATCGCTAGACAGTGAGTGATGGCAATGGCTTCTAGCAGTGCATTGGTCATAACTGACGATGGTGAATTCAATGTATGCAAAGTCCAATGAACGTTATCCTAAGTAAAAATCAGTTTCTCATAATGATTTAATTAATTAAATATTCAATATTTCCACTTAGTTCAAACGTATTTTTTAAGTACATCTAAGTGTAGTGGCTGGACTTCTTGCGTTGTCACTTTCAGATACGACCAAATAGAATTAATTCAATGTGACATTTCTGTAAGTTATTAGGCTATTAAGGACATAATTAGCCACTTTTCCTTTGAATCCTACATGGTACAAATGAGGCTCTTTTATACACACACACAGAAACAAATCTAATATTCTCGCTAAAAACATTCACAAATTAAACTTCACCAATGAATCCACTACAAATAGTATGAGTTATGTGTTAAAATGTGAAAATAACAGCGAGTTATGTGACCCCTCCTATTTGCAAAATATACAATGTTATGTTTTGTATCAAGAATATAAAGCATACACATTGTCAGTGTCGTGTGACTATTAGCATATTTTACCTGTGCGTACACCTACACGCATGCAAATGTGTTTTGAAACCTTATATTACGTTTTCGCAAAAAGTGGGTATTTTTTTCCAGAATGAATATGAGTAGATGAGTTCGTTCTACACAATATATACCTCTTAGGCATTTGTCAAGTGTCAGTCCACTGCTGGATGCGAGCGTTCTTATACCGCGAGGGTCATGCGAGGTATCTCATCATACTTCTCCACGCTGTTCAACGTGGGTTGCTGAAGGCGAAGAGCATAGAGGTACAGCACGAAAATGGATGTTTCTGCACGACCCTCCTGTGCGTGTGTATGTATATTACTACTACGGGTTTACTTTGTGCTGTTATATTACGATTTTGTGTAAGCCTATGTTTGATTGTTTTTATTTGTTTATCATGAGGCTGAAGACGAACAAGGCGCCCCGCCATGCACTTTCCCCACGGCGGTTTCTGAGGAGCAGCTGGAGGGAGCAAGGAAAAGGGCTCGCAATCGCCTGCAGTTCATCGGCTCCGGGGCTGTCTTCCTGCTGGATGATGGCAGAGGTCAAAGGGCAGGACCCAGCATGCAGAACGTCTTGGAAGAAAAGGCCAGACAGCAGTGAGTTGTGTTTCTGGTATCGTACATTTCCCCACGATTTCGTTTTTAATGTACATCTCGCGTGGCAGTTTTCTGCATACCCAATGCCCCTTATGCGTTTATAATATTGGTTACAAAGCAAAACGTGTGCCAAGACACAGTGAATGAAAAGGTGTTGTTATTTTTACGTTTTGTAGAGGTATTATATTTTGAAATCCACGTCGCCTAAGTATCCATGAAAGAAGGGAATGCAAAGACCTTGAGTAAAAGGCAATAAGAGATCCCTGTGTTGGCAGCTACAAGAAGGAATACATGTTCTTGATTCTTTCAGTAAAGTCACATAGAAGGGAAATAATAATATAATAAAAATAAAACATTTTCTTTTATTATGTTTTATTTTTATTATTTTATTATTTCCCTTCTACATGACTTTACCGAAAGAACCAAGAAGATGAATCCCTGCAGTCATGAAAGCTTTAAATCGATACACGTGAACCCAGTGTAATAGCCAATGGCAGCTTTTGTCAAACTCAAGTTAACATTTGTGCACTTGACAAACGTTCTGTGCTAAATTAAGGATATAGAAGGTACAACCTTATGCAATCATATATGAGTGCACTTCTTTCACTAAAAATATTTTAGTTCTATCAGGACATTGCATTCATTATTGAATGCAGGATTTAGTCATGGCACTTTAAAAAAATACGACTCTGCAGACACTCACCATGCCATATGTTCAATTGTTATCGGTCTCTTGCAGCTACATGAAGGGGCTTGAGGAATTTAACCATGGGGAGTATGAGAAGGCTGTCCTGTGTTTTACAAAAGCTATCAACCTCACCCCACAACAGGCAAGTAATTCGCCATTTACATAAGAATATATTTCTCGGGAACACACTTTCTCACTTTTCAAGTTCAACGATAATTTTCGTGGCATTTAATTATCGTAAAAAAAGTTAGCTCTTTAAAAGTAATGTTCATTGCATTTGCCGACAAAGATGAATGCGGTATAATGGCTAAGTGAGCGATGTATAAAGCTATAAAAAAAAAACATTCTGAAATTGGTGTGAAATTCTTCCACCCATGATCCACAAACGTTATCTGCTACTTACACGTGCACATGTCGGTGTCGTAGCGAGTTTGTGTGTGCGGTGCGGCCGTGAGCTCCACTCTGCCCTACGAGTCAAGCCACTCGAGTTCCATTGCTGTTCATGGCCAGTAATGGTGGCGAGTATTTGAACTGGTCCTGGGCTTGCCCCCCCCCCCCCCCCTCCTGTGTCTACTCGGCCTTATAAAGTAGTATCTGGTGCGGTGTGGAAACATTAGCACTGGCGAGACAAAGGAGGCTGACTGTGGTGTTGGCCACCGACACCATGGAACAAAGACGGTCACTGCGTCGCAGGCTTTTAGATGCGCTTCTGCAGCGGTCTGGAACGTTCTTCCTTCTGATATTAGGATGTCACTGGAGCTGTGCACTTTTAAATCGTCACCTACATTGAAAAAACATTTCTTTAGAACTGCTTTTTTGCATTGTTTGTTGTCCTTCTCCCGTACCTCCGATTGGCACGGTTGGCTACGTACGGTGCGAAGGAAGTTCAACATACTACTCGTTCAGAGCACTTGCCCCAACAGTTCTGTTAAAGGCTCTACGGGGGTATCTTTATCCTTGATCTTTGTGTGCTCACCCCAGACGGATCTCTATGTGAAGAGAGCCGAAGCTTACCTCGAGCTGTGCGACTTCCAGTCGGCGATCCTGGGATACAAGCAGGCACTGAGCGTCTCTCGGGGTCAAGCTCCGATCCACGGACGCCTGGCCAGCATTTACTGCATACACGTAGGGTTGTCGCCCCCCGTGTTAAGATCTCACGCCACTTGATTATGCCGTTTTGAGCATCAGCTGAAGCTGGATCAATGTCACACGAGCCCAATTTGTGCCAAGCAATTGAGGTCGACTTTAATGAATGCAATTCTGACCTGTGTTGTGCTTTGTGTTTTAAACGTACACATACGTTACGTTGGGAATTTTCATTTTTCATCAATACAAACGCCAATAAATGGATATGTTGTGTAGCTAATATAATTAGAATATACAACACAGATAGTAAATATGAGTCTATAGAATGCTTTACACACATTCGTGCTCTATGTTTTCTGTAGAACTGCTTTGTGTAATTAGTTTGTTCTTCTCCCAGACCTCAGATTAGCACGGTTGGCTACGTGACATGTGAAAGAAGTTCAACATGCAAACATTTAATATTGAATTGTCAATCTCTTTTTGTTGTAATACAGCTATTGATTTATTCATCCGGAAGAACGTCACTGAGTCTTAAGACTCTTTTTTGCCACTTTTACATTTAATGAGTGTTTGCATTTGAGAGGGACCCGGTGTACCTGGAAAAGAGAAAAAAAAACCCATGCATACGAGGAGATAACACTCATGGGTTCACACAGATGGGTTCATGAACCCGTTTGCTCAACTGTCATCTGGCCACCTTTACAGAGGCGAGCATGTTTGGCAGTCTCTCTGTAAATAGCGATCTCACCACGATCCACCCACCATCTCTGTGTATTATAGGTGTGCGTGTGTGTGTGGTGCTTAAAGTTAATATTTTAACTCGGGGGTGTGCGTGACACAATGAGCATGTCCCATTTTTGTATTTGTGAACAGGGCCAAGGACTTTTTGAGCACAAATTGTATCTGGATGCTCTGGAGGCATTTACGAGAGCCACGGAGCTCAAACCCAGCAGCCTCCCCATCGAGATGAGATGGTACATTGACTGAAATTTCTCTGACCATGTCCTATGCTCATGATGGAATCTTTTAATATTGTATGTATTGTGCATCAGTGTTTTATTTCAAATGTCTTGAGATATCCATTATAATGCAGCAACAGCAGTTAAGTTGCACAAAGCTTTTGTAGTTTTAATGGAGAGGACTAACTTTGACACGCCTGGATTTTGCAGGAGTTCCATCCATGTGCGAATCTGAGTTTGAAAATAATGTTTAGTTTTTTAAAATATATATACTGTATAGCATTATCGTTCATGCCAATTGAATCTCACAGACAAGCTGGAAGGCAGCAGCCAGGGCAGTGATCCGGTGCCAACAGATCCCCGAGCTCTATGGTCCTCTATGTATTTAGATGTTTTTAGCTCATTAATGAGTGTTCGTACACGTGGGTGGATTGGATGATATCAATCCTCACTTTACTGTTCCACCTTCTTCCGGCAAGCCAGGGTATTGGTATGGCACCTGCTCGACATAGCCTTAACAGACTGTTGGGGCAAGTGCTGTTAGCGGGCAGTGCCTGTGAAGGCCGGAACAGCACACGAGGGGGGTGGGTGGCCAGCATCCTTGCACTAGGTACTCAATTGAGACTGAGTCGACCTCGGGGAGGCCCAGGACCGGTTCAGATAATTCGTCCCTGGTGTTGGCCGTGAGCGGGAATCGAATCCGGGTCGCTGGATTCGTAGCGCGCTAACCACTATGCTAGCGTTTCAGTACACACACACACACACACGTGTACAGGTGCACATCAAGTGTACACGCTCACACCCGTGTGCTTAAATTCTAACTGATGTGTGCTAATTTATGCTAGCAAGCAGCACAGTGTCGCTCTTAAAAATGACTTTGTGAAAGTATTTTGCTGCCAATTTTAACCCAAGAACTGGTATTCGTCAGCAGTGTGGCAAGTTCCATGGCGATTGGTCTAAGAGTTTTGCAGAATTCTGTAGTTTTCATTAAAGTATATGAAGGGTCATCAGACAGATAGATGGACGCAGGAAATATTTCCCAGGTATAGCAAACGAGCAGCCTATCAGCTCTTTTCAAAATCCCCACAATGCTCTCAACAAGAATATGGCAATATGATTGCATGTCATAGTTAAATGAATTGCCTGCAGTATCAGACTAATTAAATGTTTCCCCAAATTAAAAATAGCAACGCCATGAAGACTAGCCGTGCAGTTTTAATGGGTCTACCCTGTCCGAATGAATAAGCGAATATATCTGAAAAGTCAGGAGGGTGGAGGGAAATTTGGGGAACCATTGGCAGCAAGAGAAATGATCCCCGAGGGCTGAGTAATGAGGGTCCAATCCTGCGGGGTGTTGCAAGCGGCCCCAACCTCAGCGGGAGCCAATCTGGTCAAACATTAGGGGCCGCCGGTTCCACTTTAACCCGTGGTAGCGCCTTTGCGTCGCAGTGTGGCGTGCCTGGCGGCGCTGGGCCGCTACGGCGATTGCCTGGAGCTCGTGGACCGCTGGCTCCTGGCCGAGACGGACAACGCCGATCTCTACGTGCTGCGGGCGCGCCTGCACCACCGCTTCAACAATGCAAGTGACGAGCGCGCGCCCAGCAAATTGTATAAATCCACTGCTGGATGAGGACCTCCCAGCGCCGTGCAGGTCAACCGCGTACTATGCCGTGCTGGTCAGTGCGGGTCGGTGAAGCAGGGTGGACCCCAGGACCGCTTTAGATGACTCACCGCTGATGTCAGATCACCGGGTTCACAACGTAGTGGGTTAACCACTGCGCTAGAGCTCCACCCCTGACACAACATTGCAGCATTATCATCAGTCAGTGCATCGCACGCTTTCAGATGTGCTTTTGCGGCCCTCTGGAATGCTCTTCCGATATTAGGAATATCACTGGAGCTATGCGCTTTAAAATCTTCTAGATTGAAAACACATTTCTTTAGAACATTTTTGTTGTTTAGGTTGTTCTTCCCCGACACCTCCAATTAGCACGGTTGGCTACATATGGTATGAAAGAAGTTCAACATACATAAATACACGTACATTATCAATCCACCGCTGAATTAAGGCCACCACCTTCACGGTCGCACGCTGCAACAACCACACGCCTGCCAAGCAGTCACAGCCAGTTGGCGCTGGCCAACTCTGCTGCTGTGCCCCTTGCCCTGGCCCTCTTCCCAGTGGCATGGTAGCTCCATTATCTCAGGGGGATATGGCAATCGGTCAGGTGGGGCCCCAATATCTGATTTGTCTCGTACGGTTGTACCGAGGCTATATCGTGGCTCCTCTTTGCCTAATGACGTCATTACGCTCACGGTCTCGAACATTTAGTGGCTGTAGGGGTGCTCCGTCTTTGCAAAATGCAGCCACAACAGGTCTGTAGTAGTGCCTCTTTGCAATATAATCGATGCGTATCTAATGACATAAATATTCCAGAAACGGAGTTCAATGCCCAATATTCTTTGACTCAAGTTACTGTCATTCAAAGCAAATGACGCTTCGTTACATTACGTTTCTTTTCCACCGTTGACAAAATATCTCATGTTGGCTGTCATGGGCGCCCCAACTCGTAGCGTTGGCCACCAGCGGGGGCCAGGGCACCCCCTGCCCCCAAGATAGTCACGCTTCTGCCCCCTCCCCTCCGCAGCCGAGCCGGTGCCACGAGGACGCTCGTGAAGCGGCGCGGCTGGCGCCGGGCCGCGCGGAGGCGGAGGCGCTGCTGGAGAGCCTGCGGAGACGAGCGCAGGACGCGCGGGTGCAGGCCGTGGCCGGGGCGCTGCGCGGGAGGCCCCGCGAGGCGCTGGCCAAGATCTCGCTCGCCGTCGAGAGCGACCCCGGAGCACCCGAGCACCGCGTGTTGCGGTGAGCCGTCGTTTTGGCTTCGCTGCCGGGACCGTCGCGGGTCCTAGCACGTGTTGTGCAATCACGTGGCCCGCCAACACACGCTAATTTTTTTTATGAAGTGGCCCGTTAGAAAATGCATTTTAAAGAGGTGTGGTGTACGCGTGTACTTGCTGTTAATCCACGGAAGATGTAACCCAACGTTAATTTGGCTGTTGATTTGCACCAAGGTTGTGTCTGAGGCTGTCTCTGACAAGTGTGAAGTTTCACTTGTAAGAAAACGAATTTAAACTCGATCAGTATTGACTTCTTAACACCGAGTGAGTCCATTATATTTTCATACATTGTCAATGCCGTGACATCACTATCGTGCTATAAATGTATTTTTAAGAGGTTTTTTTTTCTCATTAACAAAGCTTCAAACTCGTCGCTCGTGTTTTCCGATCATTTCCCACGTGCAGCGTGTAAGGACATCGTCTACATGTGGTCGGGCGAGATTTGTATATATGTAGCCAACCGCGTGAATCGGACATGTGGGGGATGGACAACGAACTAAACACAAAAATCAGTTCCAAAGAAAAGAGTTTTCAATCTAGGTGATCTAAAAGTGCATAGCTCCAGTGGCTTCCTAATATCAGAAACGCATCTGAAAGCGCGCGATGCGGTGACCGTCTTTGTTCGACTGCTGCGAGTTCATGCTCCTCAAGCAAGGTATTGTTATTCAGTTGTGCCGTGCTTTTGGTTCGCCAAAAAAAACACCCGGCTTAACGCTGGCGTGACGCTCTGCCACGCGGCAGGGCCGCCCTGCTGCGCCAGCTGCAAGACTTTGCAGGCGCCACCGAGGAGCTGCTGGCGGGGATGGAGGCGGCGGGGCACGACCCGGAGAGCACGGCCCAGCGAGCCGCCCAACGACAGCTCCTCATCGCCTACAACGACCTCGCCGTGCACTGCTGCCGCCGGGGCCTCTTCCAGGAGGCGGTGGTGCTGCTCAACAGGGCCATCCGCGCTGAGAAAGGGGCCAAGAGTCTCTACCGAAACCGTGGAGGTCGGTCTGCCTAAACCCCTAGAGTAGGGCTTGGGAACCTGCGGCTCTGGAGCTGCATGCGGCTTTTTAAGGACTGCAGTGCAGCTCTTGAAATTCGAAAAAAATACTCTTTGGTATTTTGTTTGCCGAGCCCTGACCATGGGAGTCCAGTTCACCATGGAAGTCCAGTTCACCATGGAAGTCCAGTTTACCATGGGAGTCCAGGTCACCATGGAAGTCCAGTTCACCATGGAAATCCAATTCACCATGGATGTCCAGTTCACCATGGAAGTCCAGTTTACCATGGGAGTCCAGTTCACCATGGAAGTCGAGTTGACCATGGAAGTCCAGTTTACCAGGGCAGGGGTCGGCAAACCTGCAGCTTCTGAGCCGCATGCGGCTCTTCAAGGACTGCTGCTTCGTGACATTAATTATTGAGGACCACCGTCTCGTATACACGTTGCATTGCGGCTCTTGAAATAGTTTTTTTTTTATTATCCCATTCGAAAATGGCTCTTCTTGTTGTTTTGGTTGCCAACCTCTGGCCTAGAGCCTCGCTCCGAATAAATGGCAGACCCACTGGTCGTAATGATTATTTAGTATGTGGAGTATTTCGCGCCATTTGTAGTCTGTATATCGTGTATTTTTACCGTTAATACACCTGCAGTAGTAACCAGGGTGGCCTGTCGGATTCGAACCGTAAAAAAAATCTGCAACAAGTAGCGAACGAGCTACCGTTGGGTCATGTCATCGCCAAATCACACAGATGAAGTTTCGTGACGATCTTTGTGATTATGATCATCATCGTTACCTACAATCAATTTACCTGGAATGCGCCTTATTATCCTCAGATCCCGGAAGCTAAGCAGGGTTGAGCCTTCAGTGCTCGGATGGGTGACCCCCATGCACACCAGCTTGTCATAGGTGGCTACAGCGCTTGTGCTATGTGCTCATCTATCTTCTGCACACGAACTGGTAGAATTGCTCCCATCTCCACAGTGATTGTCATCTCAGGTTTGTTCACTCCTGTGGCTGCTGTTAAGTCTCCAGTCAAGTCCATCGGTCATCATCCCTTCTAGAAATGAGTCCTACACAAACCCACCTGCTTTTGTTACTTAATTCACATGCTACCCTGTTTTTTTGTCTCTCAGTGCAATTCCAAGAATGCATCTTTCCATGCTTCATCTCTCTTTTCAGCCTTCTTCCATTTCCATGTTGCCAACGCATACGATAGCTGGGTAGTATGCAGATTGAAAACGATCTTCTCCATGCACATGATTGTGTTGCTTTTAATTATCAAGCCCATCGTCTGGCGATGAAGCTCATTGCGGAGGTTAAATGCAAGCAAACGCTCACCTTTCGCATGCGTGTGCTTGTGTGGCGCACCGTATCAAATTTACATTTCCACAGACGTAGGCAAGAATTGGATGTACGGAGGAAACCACGCGAGGGGAAAAAGCTTTGAAAGTCGGCAAGGATGATGCGTGCTGTGCATGTGTCTCCTCCGTTGACAAGCACGGGATTTCATGAATTATGAAGGCGCGTTGTGTTGTCCGCATATTCCGTGCGAGTACAGCTGAGCCTTCCTGACATCACTCCTGTTTTTCAGCCTCAAAAAGAAACCCAAGAAGAGTAAACTTGACACTAAAAGGAGTCAGACCAACACCGTGACATCCATTAGCGTAACTTTTTGTTGCGATCAAACCTGAGGCTGACGTGAGTAGCGGTGATGTTAAGTGTTTTGCTTCGGCGTTTGTCCGCGGATCACCGGAACGCGGCCATGTGCTTTGCGTGCGCGAGTGTGCTGCGACGGCAGAGTAGCGGTTAGGGCAACCGCACTACGCACCCTGCGGGCCGAGTTCAACTCCCGGCCACGGCTAACGTCGGTGGCGATTATCTGATATGGTCCCGCTCCTGCCTGAGTTGGGCTTAACCGTAAATGAGAAATTGGCGCAAAATGTAAATGTCAGCGCTCGGGAGACAAAGGCGACTTGGCATGGTGCTGGCCACACCACCCCCTCGTGCGGTGTGCCAGCCTTCACACATGCTGCTAACGGGGCTTGTCATCGACATTCTAAAAAGGCCATACGGGGGGATCTTTGGTTTTGCTCACGTGCCCAACTGGTGCATCTGTGCCTACTGCTAGACTGCTTCTACAAGATGGACGAGCTGGGGTTTGCGCTCGCCGATTACCAGCAGGCCTACGAGCTGGACCCAGGCGACTCGTGCTTGAGGGAGAGGATCGCCTTGGTGCACCATGACCTGGCTGTGATGGACCACCAGGAAAAGTGAGTCAGTTGCATCGGTGGTGACACGGTCAGTATTTCAAAAAGGTAAGTCTTAGCGTCGTGCCGTTTCCCCTTAATTGTTCTGCCACAGCGAATTGGTTGGCGCACTGAGGGGCCGCCGTTTCAATCTGCTCGGCATGACGTGGTGCAGGTTTCTTAAATCCCCCCCCCTCCTCTGTCCATCCCAGTGGACTATGTGGCTCCACCACGGTCAATCGGCAGGTCGCGTGTGGCGGGGTGAGGTGAAGTGTGAGCACCCCCGTGGTAAGCCACTTCATTGAGCTGTCATTTGTGGCCAGGCCGCTTCTAAAAAGTAATAACTCCAAATATTTTAGTTTTAGCTGACTTATAGTGATTTGTTTACCTTTCCTATACTCTGCACTCCTTTCATTTATTTGTATTGATTATTGTTGTAACTTTGTGACTCGCCCCTACTGGACACCGGTGAAAAAGAGCATCGGATTTCTCAGGGATAAATAATCTGATTCTGATTCCAAGACAGATTTTCCCACGACAACTACCTCAAGTAATAGGATATTAAAAATCCAGCACCACCACGTGTTACCCCTGGCCTCAAAACCGCTGCTCCTCCTTTGCCCAGGCGATACGCGGAAGCGGAGCGGCGCTGCACGGAAGCGATCCGGAACCACCCGGGGCTGGGCGCTGCCTACGTGCAGCGTGCAATGGCGCGCCAGATGATGCAGGAGAGTGCGGGAGCGAGACTCGACGTTGTCACAGCCCTGCTCATCCAGCCCAGCAACCAGAAGGTAACTACTTACTTACTCTATTTTTATACCCTACGGGACGACGTAAGGCTACAACCAGAAGGTGAGGCTGCAGATGAAACCTCGCCCGAGCCGGACTGATTCGTGAGACGTGGAGCTTTTATAGTGATGGAGGCACTTCTAGAATACTAAACGATTAACTTTTTTTATGTTACCGGGTAAGGCCCACTGAGCTATATAGCTCTTTTCAGAAGCGACCTGGCTATCACAACGAAGTGGCTTATCACGTCGACATTTATAGCAGCCAGATACTGTAAGCGCACGTTTAGAAATGTGGAGGGAAAAAACCGGAGGACCCGCAGGAAAATCCACGCCACCACGGGAAGAACATGCAAACTCAAAATATACAGGTGTCAGGGTCGGGATCGAACCCATTAACTTTTGTATGCCAGGCGAGGTAGTTAACATCTTGCCACCATCGCGCCCCAATCATGCAATGGTGGACCGAAGGAGGGACCATGGGGGAGATTTCCACCCCCCCCCCCCTAAAAAAATTGGTATGTTAGTGATATTTACCAGAGAAAATGCATGCAATTGTGTTTATTAGTATTCATGTAAGGGCCTATTTTTTAAAAAAGCTTCATTTCAGGAGCACCCCACCTTGGGGAGTTTCTAGATCCACCTCTGGCGCACTTAAAATGTATTTAATAAATTACATTAATCATAGTAATAATGATTTGTTTTGTTTACATAACGCCCTTCTTTACGCCGGGACATCTCGTAGTGTTTTACAGGCAACACGCGCGACTTGCATCACGTATATTTACCTCAAATAATTTAAAGGGCACCCTCCCCTTAGTGGGAAGTTGTCCCTTTTGGACACAAGGTGATGTCGCGCCTGGACTGCAATCAGGCATTCGTCTGTGAGCCAGTGTGGGGTGACAACTGCCACGTGTAGGTCGAATTGTATCATTTGCGGGCACTTTTTTTTATTAAAAATTGGCAACTTTGGGTCGTGGGGGCGGCACGCAATGGCCTACTCCTCCTGCGTGTACGCTGACGTCCGGAGGATTCCTAACGTCCACACGCACTGAACCGAACTCTCTCTCTCGCCTTGTTTTTGGCTCTCCGTTGCTTGTGCAACGATTAGTACATATGAGCCGAGGTTATCTCTGCTGCAGTGAAATGGGTAATCGATAATGGGAGGAAAAGCGTTCTCCCACCCTCGAGGTAACGCATTTCGTCGTTTGCTTATTTGCGTCCGTACACACGCGCGCGCACGGAAGAGTAACGAGCGACGTTGTTTTGCTCGTTAAGGGAAAACAAATCTGCTGGCTCATTAACAAAACGCAACGTTCCACAGCGACGTGCAACGCATTAACGTGAGAAGTTAACGACGGCCGCACCAAAATTAGCAGCGCCGCGTATCCAGGAATCCACTCCCGCGGAGTACAAGGGTCGGTGGATTGCACGGAGGACCTGCGTTCGTCACCGAGCTGTAAGGTGGCCGCCAGGGTCATTGCCCGAAACGTCACCCGTTTATATACTTTACAAGGCCACAGCCTTATGAATGAATGTTAGTTTTTTTTCTCTCTGTGTAAAGTCGATTTTACTGACATGATGAACCGCCAGGTCTTGCCCATTCCCCCACCTCCCCGAATAAACCAGAGTGGATGATTGTCCTCGCACCGACCGGGTCCCCGCTAGGTACTGCCCATGCTGAGTCAGCTCTTTCCGGGCAAGTCGGTGGGCGACGTCATGGCGAGCGAGTTCGCTCGCGCCGCCGCCGCAGCAGCAGCAGCCACTGCAGCTACCGCGAGGTCCCCTGCACGAGAAGCAGCTGGCCCGGGCGATAGCACGGACAGAGCATTGGCGCCACCACGCGGCCATCGCACGTAAATGCAACTCACAGCGACCGAACAACTCCCCCCCCCCACCAATCCCATTCTCCTACCAACACAGCGTCTCATAAGCCATCCTGAATGTGGTCGGTCGGCAGCGAGTGGATCTTGTTGTACGTACGGTGGCACGGATGACCAAACCCACGCGTAATAAAGATTTTTTTTTTATTTTACCAGGTAAGGCCCGTCAGTTTAACGCGTATGCGACCAATATTGTACTCGGATTGTAAATGTTGTGGTTTAAAAGTCCAACGCACCGGTGTGCTGTACTACTAACGGATTGGAGTGTTTTGTTTACGTGACAAACCTTACTAATTGGCTGTGTCAGTTGGTGGCGGATTTGACGACACATTTGTATTTACGCGATCGAACCCAAAAACCTCTTACAGGTAAGGCCCACTGAGCAATATAGCTCTTTTTCAGAAGCGACCTGGCAATCACAATGATAGCGTATCATCATCACGTGGAAATTTATAGCAGCCGAATAACCTAAAACGCGTGATGTTACTTATAAATGTGCAGGGAAAAACCGGAGGACCTGGATAAAAATCCACGTGACCAAAGGGAGAACATACAAACTCCACAGACAGCAGGCGTCAGGGTTCGGGGTCGAACCCACGCCCTCCTGTATACCAGGCGAGGTAGTTAACATTTCGCCATCACAATGCGCTCGGTGGTCTCAGAAGTTGAGTCCCCGGGCTGTGCTTGGGGTGGGCGACCGCCGAGCATAGCAAGGCTCGTCAGAAGGCTGTGCTATGTGGTTTGTCAGCAGAGGGCAGTACAGCAAAATGAATTGTTCGACTGCACTCCCACGCTCTCACATACATGCTCCTTCAGCCTTCACCAGTGCGGTAAAGTATGGTCAAATAACCCCCATGACCGACGGTAGATTGGCAAAAGGCCTGTACGTGTATAAATTGTTGGCTTTGGGTCAGAGCAGTGTATTTTTTTTTGAGTGGGGGAAAAATGACATTCAGTCCGGGGAAACGGGTTTACAAAACAACTCTCCCGCTGTACATCTCCAGTGTTAAGCTACAGAGCAGCTTGCATCGCGTTACATCTTTTCCTGTCGTTGTCAGCGGTTCAACAACGGGGGAAGGAACTCCCCAAACATTCCAACTGCCTGGCACGGGCGACGCCACAAACGGCGTCGCCTCCCGCGTTCCGGACTCTCGCCTAATCCGCAAACTGATGGCGGAGAAGAAAAAGGTATTTTTACGGGGATCTTTTTTTCACATTGCATCACGAGCTTTGGTTTTTCTTATTGCTGTTTTTTCGTACGCGGTTGAGAGATGCAGGTATTGCATGGACACGGTATACAAAAAATATATATTCGCGCAAACTTTCACCGTGTTCGGCTGTTGAGCCGTTTTAAATTGTAATCAATCAACTTGGGGATCGCCATCCTTTGCAGGCAGATGTGGACGTAAGAAGAGCGCTGATGGTGAGAGCATCTCTGAGCCCCGCGGTGCCGAGACTGAGGGTCGTGCATGAAGCAAGCGGCACGCAAGCGAGCGGCACCGACCGGCCGTACATGTGGAGGACCTTCAGCCAGCACCGCTGAAGGCCAGGCCTCACTTAACTCAAAGTGTAGGACGATTTTTTGTTGTTGCCGTGTTCAATTTTTCACGCTCGTGCCGTATAGCTCACCGATGCATTCTCGCAACTGTTCCTGATGAAGCTCCCAGGTGGTGGAGCGAAACGGCAGGCCGTTCAACACACGGTACAACAAAACACTTTTTCTTTTCAAATTGTACCTTCGTGCCATTGGCGTCATACTATTCAGATCTGTCGGAGAGTAGTGCGACTCTTCCTGTTACAGAAAGGCCCACGGAAGTGGACACCAAAGAGCTCCCTGCGAGATCCCTGCAGGTGACCTCAACAGTTCGACACAGCAGTGGGACAGGACTGTCCCACCTGTTGTGCAAAATAGCAGCGTTCATTGTACAACAGCTAAACCAATCTTTAATTCTCAAGAGGCATTTCACCAAAATTGCAGGTCCAAACGTAGTGTGATCTTTATTGTGGTTGGTGTGGAATCATACGTGCCCAGCCTGAAACCATCAATTCATTTGAATCAAGTACCCATGTTTAATCACAGGCGGTTTCATGGAATCGAACTCAGAATCCTAGCGGCGCTCTGACCCAGACCTCTGGGCCACTGACCACTTCCTCTCTGGCCATGCAAGGGTAAGCAGAACAGCTGATGAAACAATGGCAATTCTCACCAAGAGGCTATCCCACAGACTTTCAAGAACTGTCGAAACAAATTAGAGCAATTTTATCTAGCAATTTGTTGCGAAACGGATTGTTATTTCATTTGTTTTTATCCTTCTATGGTATTACAATGAATAAATGTACGCGAAAGATATCATTTCCTCAAATTCATTGTTACCCATCGCTTTCAAGTTAACCAGAAACATCAACTTTCCATTAAAGTATATTAACTTGCCTTTAAACTAAAAACTAAACTATTAAACATTTTACTTTACCAGGTAAGGCCCATTGAGCTATAAAGCTTTTTCAAAAGAGACCTGGCCACAAATGATCGCTCAAAGAACTGGCTTGTGGAAATTTATAGCAGCCAAATACTCTAAACACATGTTTCTAAATGTGGAAGGAAAAAGCGGAGGGACGCGGAGAAAAATCCACACGACATGCAAACTCCAAATATACAGCAGGCGTCGAACCCACGACTTCCTGTATAACCAGGCGAGGTAGTTAACATCTTGCCACAGAGGCGTCTTGTTGCATTGCAAGTGTATAAACTACGATACCCTTATGCACCAAGTAATCACAGTGATTGATTCAAGTTTTAGCATGCGATTTACCAAAAACATTCAAGCCTCAATGAAAGAGATGTACCTTTCAACTTTAGAGTGCTCATAGCCATAACAGCAGCAGTGAGACTTTCTCCATAGAGTTATGCAGCTCTGCCACTGGTAGATCACAGTAATTAATCAGTCAAGAGCAAATTTTATTCGAACACCTCGGGTGTTCTGAATGCTATTTTCTCTGCTCCAGTTGTTCGTCCTCACAAAGTGTTGGTTCATCAGAGAATTGGAGACACTGTGTCGTAGCGATGCAATGCACATGCAATTTCACCCAAGTTCAAATCTCACGTCCTGCATCCAACTTGCAGAACACGCGTTGCTCTTCCGAGTTCTCGACTGGTTGAAGGCGCTGCAGAATAACAGCGATGGTGGCAGGAGAGAGATTTATTTTTTGAGCTGCCGTTCCCGGTGGTGACGAGTCTACTCTGACAGTGCGACCGTTACGATCGAAGAGTCCTATTGCTGCTTACACTTGTTTTTCATCTTTACGGTGCGTGCCTTTGGTTGAACGGAGAATCAGTGACGTGAAGTAGCGGCGATGGGGGTCATTTAGCCCCAGTTTAAAATCCCAATCCTGATTTGCAGAACACTCATCGTCCGTCGCGGAGCTCTCGACCGGTCAAAGAGATTGACTAAGCAACAACAGCAACATCAGTCGATGAAGTTGTTGGAGAAGAGGTAACAGCGACGAGGCGGGGAGTGGTGGGGTGGGGTCATTGGTGCATGAACAGCGCCGCCCGCTGGGCCACGTGCTTACAGCCGGCGACGGCGAGGAGGCCCTCGCCCTGCGGCCAGTAGGCGAGCGAGGAGGCGAGGCGCCACACGAGGTCGGGACTCGGGTGACGCCCGCGCGCCAGGAACTCGTCGCACACGCACAGCTGCACGTGACGCGGCTCCAGCGGCAGGAAGACCACCGGCGTCACGAGCCGGAGCAGCGGCAAGCTCTTCGCGTCGTCACCTGTTGCAAGCGGAAGCGACGACCCCCGTCAAGACTCGCAGGGCAGCGGAAATCCCAGGCCGGTGTTTTAAAGATGAGCATCGCGATGTGTGTACATGCATGTATATTTAATTTCTTCCGCACCGTACGTAGCCAACTGTGCTAATCGGAGTTGCAGGGGAAGGACAAGAAACTAAAACAGAAAAAACTGTTCTAAAAAAATTAGTTTTCAATCTGGATTTAAATGTGCATGGCTCCCAGTGGCTTCCTAACATCGTAAGGAAGACAGTTCCAGACGGTTTGCCGGAAGCCACTGCTGTGAGGATGGCCGGAGTTCACGTAATGATGGTCTATGCTCCTCGACAAGATGTGTTTGAGTTCACCGCGCCGGTCAGTTCCGACTGATGAAGGGGGGATGTCAGGACTGGTTCAGGCACCATCTCGCCGCCGACTGCGAATCGTGAACGGCAATCGAATTGACGTCACCGGGTAAAAAAAAAATATCATAAATATTGCGCAAACATAAATTGACGTTACACTTTTTTGAACGTCACGGAATCTTTAACGTCCACTGTGAAGTGGACGGCGCGTATATTCTTACGGTTAATAATGTGCCAGTGGGGCTCTAACCGCAAACCTCCGCATCGAGCGGTGAAACGTGCCACCGCCGCCCGCCAAATCACGGCCCCATATATTTCCTCCTCCAAGGCAGTGTTCACCGCAGAGGTGGCAAGTTGTCCACGCGTTAATGTTGTGCCACATCCAGCAGTGGACTGAAGAAGGGCCACGCACGCACGACACGCCATTTACCGAGGTGCTGTCGCATCGTCTGCCTTAGCTTGTCCGGCAGCTCTTCCATCGTTATCTCCGCACGGCCCCTTCCACTCTGCAGCACCTCCAGTGTCCGCGTATTAATCAACGACGTCCCGATGTTACTGCTGCACACAGCCAAACGTACAAAAAAAATTCAAACCACAACGTTTAGTTGTAAATGTTGTGGGTTTAACTCTCCAACACACCACTGAACGAGTAACGAATTGGCATGTTTTGTTAACGTGACAAACCTTACTAATTGGCTGTGTTGGGTGGTGGCGGGTTTAACAACACGTTTATATTTACGCGATCTAACCCCAAAACATCTCTCTCTCTTATGAAAAATAAACTATTTAACTGAACAATTTTATATTTCACCAGGTAATGCCCACTGAGCTATATCGCTCTTTTTCAGAAGCAATCTGGTCACAAATTATAACCCAATGAAATCGCTTATCACGTGCAAATTTACAGAGCCAAAAACTTGTGTTTTTCTAAATGTGAAGGGAAAACCGTAGGACCCAGAGAAGAATCCACACAACCACGGGGAGAACACGGAAACTCCAAATATACAGCAGGCTTCAGGGTCGGGATCAAACCCATGACCTCCTGTACACCAGGCGAGGTAGTTAACATCTCGCCACCGCGGCGCCCCAAAAATAAACTGCTAACACATGCGATTATTTTAACAGCCCTTTTACAAGTTGCAAGTTCAATTTGTTTCACCAGGTGAGAGAACTTGAGAGACCAAGGTAGAGTAGTTTGCGAGAGAGACCGAGTCACCAAAATGCCAAAAGTAAAACAATGAAGAAAAAATAAATCAGGAAAAAAATAAAACTGTCAAGCGAAAAATGTAAAATATTGCACAAATATAAATTAACGTTCCATCAAAGTTTAATATTAAATTCCCTGCAGCTCAAGTCAGCTCTGGCATACTATTGTTGGACTGATCAGAGTAAAATTACAACATTAAGTAACAGATACATTAAACGGATATATTATGGTCATTTAGTCATCCATTTTCAGAAGTGAGGACAAGCAACGAGAGAGAGACGATTTCAACTTCAAACCTTATGAAGTAGATTGCGGGTACCAAGGGCCGAAATGAGGTTTCTCCGCAGGGTTGCCGGGCTCACTGTCCCGTGATCGGGTCAGGACCTCGGTAATATGGGGGGAGCCTCAGAGTCGAGCCGCTGCTCCTCCGGATCGAGAGGAGCCAGTTGAGGTGGTTCAGGCACCTGGTAAGGATGCCCCCCCCCACCCGGTAGATTCCCCCTGGAACTCTACTGGGCACGTCCCACTTGGCGAAAACCCCGAGGCCGGCCCAGGACACGTTGACAGGACTATGTCGCTCGGCTGGCCTGGCAATGTCTGGGAATTCCCCAGAGAAGAGCTAGAGTCTGTCGCCAGGGAAAGGGAGGTGTGGACCACCATACTCAACATGCTGCCGCCGCGACCCTCACCAGGACAAGCGGACTGAGAAACGAACGAACCTTATGAAGATGAACAAGGCCTTTTTGTAGGCGCTCTGTGGGGTATCCAGAATGTGCAACAGCAGATCGTCCAACAGCCCCACAGACAGCTCCTCCACCGAGTCCACGATGAAGAGCGAATGTTCGCAGACTTGCACCCCCTCCAACAGCAGAGTCTCAAGTCTTTCCTGTAGCATGGGAGAAGATAGAATTCCACATCACTGCACTGAGGTCTGACGATCGAGCACTCGCCGATTCACACTCGACACACACTCACAGGCGATCAGTTGTCCCCTTATCACTCTTCTATTGCTAACGTCCATGGCTACTATTCCTGTGAACGTACTCCACCCGTGTTGAGGACTCGATATATTTCCGTGAAATAAAATAGTACGGGCATATTCAGTTTCTGTTAGTAAATTAAATGACAAGACATTTTTGAGGATTATCTTTTAAAATAATCTACTCGTGGGTGGGTAATGATAATTACTTTTGACGAATCTCGTGGGCAATTACAAGGGAAATTCCACGTGCCAACGATGAAAAACAGTGGCTGATGTTGTTTACATGCGGTGTTACACAGGCATGTATTTATTTGTACATTAACAGGGAGTGTGATTAACTGGCACGTGTTGACAAGTTTGGCTCCCGTGTTCGTGGTAATCGATTTAAATGTTGACAAAATACAATTACCTAATTATCTTGGGGGACAAACACCCCACAAATACTTACTGTTTGGAATGTAACAGCGATTCTGCCCCATAGCAATTAGAATAAACGTCACCATTCCACGCGAGAATTAAGTCCCTCTCGTTCAACTTTCACTGTCTCGGTTGCGCTGCACGTGGTCGCTCGTCGCTTCGACCTTTGACTCAAAACACAATTATGGGGAGCACCGACCTCCTCCTGTATTCCTGCTATCCACCCCCTGCCCCCACCCTTGCCCCCCCATCCCCCGCTGGCAGCCCCCTATGGATACAACACACACCAACGTACGGCGCCGATGTTTCTGTTTCACTTGTCACAAGGTCGGTGTCCACTCTCTCTCCCATACGTTTGTACATCTCCGTTATTTTGAAGGCCCATGCATGACGCATTTCCACTTGACTCCATGTAATTGTGTAGAATGGTTCTCAATTTCTAACTGCTGTGTACAACTGTCTGCTCCGTGAACCAATTAGTACCAGGAAGCATGCACACAATTGCATAACGTTTGCGTGCACCGTGAGTAAAGGATTCCTTAAATAATTTGTATCGTTGGTAGTTTCTCGGCTTTAGTTGTTCCCAAGTCCACTTCGACGTAGCAACACATTTATATTGTAAAGATTATTATTACTTGCGAAATTTTGTATATGTATCGCTTGCGTAAGAATCAATTAATCATAATTAATTCTCATGTTTATGACACGCGTCGAATCAGGCACGTAAGAAAAGATTGCAATGTACACATACGGTATGCTTGTTCTAACCAGATTCCGTTCCAATGATGTATGTGTACGCATGTGTGCATCATCGGAACGGAATCGGAAGTAAAAAAAAAGGCCATGCGGGAGAGCGTGTGGCGCAGTTGGGCGCCAGCTATTGTAGAGTGCGGTCGTGTCGCTACAGTTCTCTGTGGTGAGTACAATGTATTTAAAAACAGCGGCACTATGCCTCTCTTAATAAAATTTACGCTAACCGCAAGCGGTTAGAATTACTTTTAATTGACGAATCGATTTAAAAACGTTGCATCTCTGCTAGCCATAGCCGACCTGTGCCGAAACACCGCTCCTCTCACCCGGTGTGCGTGGCGATCCTCCGTCCCCGAGAGCAGCAGGCTGGGCACTATCGCGTGCACGCACTGGCTGCTCATGCCGTCGCTGTAAAGGTGCCGAGCGAGGGTGCGAGCCGCGTGCGACTTCCCTGTGCCGCTGCCACCGAACAGCATCAGCAGCCGGGGCCCGACGTTCGTGCCGTCCCTGCGCGCCAGCGAGAATCGCCACGCTGCCCTCTCGAGCGAGCTGCGCGCGAGGTGCTGCCCGTGGAGCCTGCGGTGCAGCTCACGCCGCAGGCCTGAAACGGGCAAGGCGAACAAACGTCACACAGTGGGTTTCTTGTTTTTTGGTTCTTTATCTTGAGCCCCACTTTGCAGCCCTGTTTATTTATTGAGGTCCTAATTTTTATTTGTGCACACGGTGCTGCTGCCCGTGCGGCCTGCGGTGGAGCTCACGCTGCAGGCATGACAGCATCACCGTTCGTTGTTAGGCCATTTCCATGAATGAGCGTTGGGGACATGGAGGGGAAACTGGAGTGCCCGGAAAAAGGTATGCATGTTGAATTTCTTTCTCACCCTACGTAGCCAACCGTGCTAATTGGAGGTGCGGGGGAAGGACAACAAACTAAACACAAAAATCAGTTCGAAAGAAATTAGTTTTCAAGCTAGATTTAAAAGTGCATAGCTCCAGTGGCTTCCTAATATCGGAAGAGCATTCCAGATGGCTGCAGAAGCGCATCGAAACGCGCGCGATGCAGTGACCGTCTTTGTTTGATGGCTAGACAAAAGCCGCTGCGAGGATGACCGAAGTTCGCGTGATGGTTTATGCTCCTTGACGAGATCAGCAAGGTATTGTGCTTCATTAGTGACAAGTACTTGGTTTGTAATGAGTGCGACCTTATAATGTATTCATTCGGCAACCGGAAGCCAATGCAACTCGGCGAGCTGCATGCACAGGGAGGAGAATAACACTCAAAAAATTTTAAATGTGATAATTGAACAACAATACGAACACTGCCTTCCACTGCCATCTTCTGGCAATCTTGATTCTCTACAGCCATTTCAGCAATATGTGCATTTGGCCCATATGTGAAATGCTTCTTCAGATGGGAAAGAACAAAATACAATATTTTAACCAACCTATAGCTGGAGACTGTTCTAAGAAGAGCAAGTGAAGCTTGCGCAAGACACTGCGCAAAGAAGGGACGTTGGACAGTGGTCAACGCTAAATCAGAGTGGCAGCCAGCCTGAGAGAATGTACACCGCCGAGATGGAGCTATGAATTTAACTTGTCTGCAGGTGCTAGATGGTTCGCTACATCACAAGACGGTGGGAGATAAACGTTGTTATTACCAGTAAAGCCCACTGAGCTATATAGCTTTTTTTCAGCAGCGACCTGGTGACAAATGGTAGCCCAACGAAGTCGCTTATGTAGAAATTTATAACAGCCAAATACTCTAAATGCATGGTTTCTAAATATGGAGTAAAACCCGGAGGAAAATCCACGCGACTACGGGGAGAACATGCAAACTCCAAATATACAGGCGTCAGGGTTGGGATCAAATCCACCACCTGCTGCATATGCCAGGCGAGGGAGTTAACATCTCGCCACCGTGTCGCCTGATGTCGACAACTCGGAAAGGTCTTCATCCAGCAGAGGATTGAGCACGGCTGATGACAGGTTGAGAATGTGATGCCTTAAAGACACCGATACATTGGAGACATTTGAAAATGATGGAAGTCGACGCTTTCAGGATTATTAAACATCAGGAAATTGAAATTGTCACCGTGGGGGAACGTGAAATAACCCCTGGCTGTGGGAGGGGGGGGGTGGTGTAGTATTGATGGGGATGTGTCATCCTCCATTGCTCGGTTTGACTTGTTGAAGAAGGCAGCAGCCGTGTCACCTGGCAGGTCGGACTTGATGCGGCAGTCGTGGTCCAGGCAGCCGAGCAGGGTACGAAGGCTGGGTGCCGGCAGGAAGCTGGGGTAGGTCTCCGACGGCGAGGTTCGCAATTCATTGTCCGCCAGGACCTCGACTGTGAGATTACAGGTGGGGGCTTGTCACGAGGGCCAGCATGCAGCACGCTGTACTGATTTACCGTATTCTCCGGATTTATAGGACGCACCCCAAACCTGTACACAGTAATACAATTTGGCCACACGCCCACCGAATTATAAAAGTCCCAACTTTTGCTTTAAAATACACGAAATGAGTGTGGACAGTATCAAGATTCGGTGAATAGGGTACGATTGAATGCCATTGGTTTACCCAGAAAAATAGGATGTTGGGCCAATTCTATGCATCAGTGCTTGGCATACGCAAGGCAAATGGAATAAAGAGCAAACTGAATAATGTACAGAGAAAGTCCACACACGCGGGGGGGGGGCGGGGTAGGAAACACTCAAAAGCTCTGCACAGCTAGATTAAATAAGTGTGGTCGAGAGGAAGGTACAACCCAACGTACTAAATGTGCTTGCGCTTATAGATAAAGCACGTGGGCCAAAGTTCTCTCAATTCCACCCCCCCCCCCGTTCATAATTACCAAACGAAAGCGTGCATTATCAGTCGTTGCGCAGTCAACGCGTCTGATAATACATACGTATTGCATGGTGCGGAGATGATCATGATGATGATATAGATCAGAGACCCATGCTTTTGTGGTTCACACCCGTGATGTGACGACGAGTTAAATGTAACGTGGGAAGCTACTCGTGATAATGACAAGCTTAGCTTACCATACCAGTGCTTGTGCTCCTGATAATATAATTTGGTTACCAGTGGTGCTGTCATACTATGATGCGGTACAAAGCGATGTTAGTAGTGGCCGATCAAACCCCCCTCCCCCCCCCCCCCCCAGTGATGTAAGCGATCGATTACCCGTGATGTTGTGTCCGCGAATCTGGCAGCGTCTCTCGTCCATGTCCACGCAGTCCCGCGCCCCGCAGTAGAGGCGGCTGTAGACGACGCCATTCTGGGGCACGGCATTGAACCAAGAGGCCACGGCTCCGGACCACACAGCGGGGTCGGTCCAGGCCCACGTGGAGTGAGGAGCTCCCGGGGTCGTTTCGCCACCCGCCGCGGGGTTCCACAGGGACGGGAAAATCGCCAGCGCCAGCAGCGCGCGAGCAGTCATCGCTGCATGCCCAGCATGCTCCTGCTGCTGGGAAGAGGGAGGGGAGAGTTATGGGGAGTCCTGGAATTCCCAATCGAGCGTCGGACCGTCGACGATCTCCTGGATGCGGGGTCCGATTTTGGGCCTTCGTTTCGGCTTGCGGGGAGGACTCGAAGACATCCGATTCGACGTCTGCTGCTGCTGTTGTTTTCCGCTTCGGGGGGGAGGGGGTGCTGGCTTACGCGTGCAATGTTTCGGAGTTCTGGCTTCGGAGGGGGCCGTGTGGTCGAAGGTCAGGCTTCAGGGCTCAGGTCACTGGTGTCGTCCGCCTTCCGTGGGTGCGAGGTCCGGTCTTCGAAGGAGGCTTCTTGGATTCTAAATAAAAAGGGGGGCTAAGCGGCCCGGCTTCCGTGATTAAGACCACACGGAGCTGGAGGGCAATAAAACGACGCCCCGGGCTTTTCGCGCTTTAAAATAAACTCGAGCAGAACTTGCGTTGATCTTTGGGGGGGAGGGGGGGTTCTTTCGGGATTCCAGCGGGGATCAGGGAACCGAAGCCGGCACCAACCAGACTGCGAGGGAAGCGATTCGGGGGCGATTGAAAAGTGTCCGGTGGCGAGCGACAGAGCCAACACCTCGTGGCACGCCCACGTGCTCTCTGACACCCGAACTTACTTCCGCAACTTTAGAGAACACCGCGGAGAAATGTAGTGCGGCTGTTACCGCGTGTTTTGTGTGTGTGTCCCCCTCCCCTCCCACACTTTTCGCGCAATGACGAACTAGTGCTATTATCGGCCTTAAAATAATTAGGGTGATTGCACTGCGCCGGAGTGCGGAGCAAATTGAGCAATGAGTGAATCCGAGTAGGCAACTATCGGGCCGCCTATGCATGCTTGGGATATAGGGGTCCTCTCGGGGGTCCTAGCGGCGCCCGTGCGATCAGGCAGCGCCACGGACAACTAAGTCATGCGGGAGCCACTTCACGCACCACCTTTCGCGCGTGTCGCGCCGCGGGAGAAAACTAGTTTCTTGTTTTTCTGCAACTTTCTCTCAAAGTGCATCGCGTCTCGGAGCATTTTCTCAACTTGGCTCAGCTTGGGGCGTTACAGCACATGCGACGGAGCAAGTTTCCGCTGCTCGCGAGATCAAAATACGTCACTTTTGCCCCCTCAGTGGCCGGCGCAGGGATCCGTGCGGTGAGCTGCCTATGAAAATGGCCGCGTCCCGGAGTGCAGGTAACGCCACAGCGCGTCGCGGCTCCTTTGCCCTCGGTTCATCATCTTGCTCGGTGCCCGACGTTCCGGGCCGCGGCGTCGGATAGCAGTTGGGTTCGAGAGCGCACCGAGTCGATTCGGACAGCCTGCGAGTGCGGTCGAGATGTCCGCGTTGAGGTAACGGCGGCGCCGTCTCTCGCGCCTGTGTCTTCTAGTCGAGTCAGCTGTGCAGCAGAATCGGCCAGGCCGCAGGGAACGCGGCGAGAGAGCGGAGACTTTGTTTGATACATTTCTATATATGTTGTTAGAACGTCTCTTACTGGGGAGGGCTTCGTTCAGCAGTGGATGGTGATGGTGATGGCAGCGGTGCAGCAGAAGCGACCAGAGACACCCCGGGAGAGAGAACGATGCAGATTGGCAGTATTTAACAAGTCAAAGGTGTTAATTCGGTATATGTGTGCGTTGTTTGAAAGTCTGATTTCGTTTTTTTACCGAGTGTACATTCGTAAGCGATGCGCTTGTGCTCTGCTATGGGTGGGTTGGGAGATCGCTACATCGCAGCAGGCTCGTGAGAGATGACGTCGTCTTCTTGAGGTCTTCATCCAGCAGTGGATTGACCACGGCTCACTGATGTTTGTATCGCCTGCGTCAGGAGAAGCGTCCAAGCCGCGGCGGACACGGGGGAGGGGGAAGAGGGGAGAGGGAAATATTTTTCTCAACGTCTAATTTGTAGTTTGTTGTTAGCCGTAGTTCGTAAAGTGTGTTTTCTTTAAGTATTTGTTGATTTGCCAAATATATTATGTGCCGCATTTGTGCATTGACTTGGATGGTTTTGGTAGATCGTTAACATCGCATTCTCGTGAGAGAGAGAGAGCGGTTGCTTGAGGAGCCATCCAGCAGTGGATAGATATTAGATGATGATGGTGACTTGTGGTTTGTAGACAAGGCAGTAACACCATACCAATTGTTTTGTATATTAGTAAGTAAGGGTAGGTAGAGGTCTTGTGCCCCAAAGTGTTTTTTTTGCAGCATTTGCAATGCACGTGCAGCCCTTTTGTTTACTGCCGGATGAATGCCTCTCCACGCCTCGTCACACATGGGAGTTGTTTCATCATACTTCATGGTGGTCAGTGTAGGTTGGTGAAGACGGGGCAGAGGAAGGACCCACTCGGGTAGCCCTCGTCACTGATGTAAGCTGTGGCCTGGAATCGAACTCGTGTAATTGGGTTTTAGCGACATTGTTAACCACTTCCACCGCTTCACTCCAAATCGATAGACGCTACAAACTGCAATTCTGACACTAAACATTCGGTGATGGTCCTTGCACTCCGGTGCTTCATTTGTTTAAAAGTATTAATGTTGTTGCTTGTCAGTTTAACACGTAGGGTTTCGTGACCTATATCCATAATACAGGTTTTTGTTTGGGTTACATCGCGTAAATATAAATGTGTCGTTAAACCCGCCACCATCTGACACAGCCAATTAGTAAGGATTGTCACGTAAACAAAACATGCCAACTAGTACAGCACACCGGTGTGTTGGAGAGCAAATCGACAACATTTATGATCCGAGTACAGTTGCTTGTGCACCACCATACTATTCTCTTGTGAGAAGTCTGTTGTGGTGTTGATGGGGGGGGGACTAGTTTATTCAGTGGTGCCGAGGGTGGCTTTTGAGTTTATTTATTGGGGGTGATTCCACATTCTTTTGGGTCTTGTGATGTTCAAATCGACAGCGGTGACCGTCATTAACACAGAAAAAATTGTGGCGGTATTTGCGTTGGTGCCCGTGAATAACATTTCCCCACATTGTCAGTAACTCTGCCTTACATGTTAAACGTTTATCGCCGGATAACAGTCCACCAACGCTCTATCTTTGAAATGCACTTCCAAATGTAAGTCATTCTCTGCCCATTCTCAGCTGTGAGGAAGGGTCAGTACCTGAAACATCTATAAAAATTACGAGGCAATGTTAATGATGCATTTGGTATGCTTTTGATATTATTTTTAGAATACAATTTGGATTTATATAGCCTCTAAATGTGACCGCATCTCATCTGTACAGAAATTGAGCACATTTATTTTTTAGAAAGAGATAGTCTGCGGCAAATGAAAAAAAGCAAAGTCTCTTCTGTGTTCGTTCTGTTTATTTGCATTTGAATATCATGTTTTATTTTCAAGTATGCATTTGGGTTAATATGTGCGAGCGCGCGATTCTCACTTGCCGTTTTAGTTTAAGGGCAAAGTCCGGCTTTTTGCACTTGGATGTAATTTTTGTTGAAAAACTCGGCCTGTTTCTTGAGTACTGATCTTATCACCCAGTTCAGCCTGGTATTTAAATGAGGAGCCCCGTGGACTTACTGTCTTCTCGTGCAGCTACGAATGACCGCGCCGACCTTACCGCTGCTCATTTGGCAGTCGCGCTCAGTAAATAAAGCTTCTTTCCTCCAGTAAGACGGGTGTTTTTTAAGGTCACCCGTGTAGGAAAGGCAATACAATTAAATGTATATAGCGTCCGTTCGCATTTGCATCACAAGACCCATTTATGGTGGAACGGATGGCACGGGGGGCATACATTAATTTTCCATAGCCGTCGATTGCAAGGCAAGTGAAGCGAAGAGGTCTAGGTGGCCAGTGCCATCGATGTCACCGCAACTCGTCAATGCTTTGTTCTGCGAGCGGCTCTTACGGTCTCCATTGTATTGCACATAACCAGGAGTGACGCGTCATTTTGTTTATTTGGTTTGGGTTATTTTTTCCACGGGTAAAACCCATTGGGAAATAAATGCTCATTTTAGATAGGGGACCTGGTTACACAATATAAACCTGGTTACAGCAACAACAAAGAACACGAACAAAAAAAGCAATCTTACAAACAACTGTACATGGTCAAGTTCCTAATGGCAAGGTCGTCCGAAAGGCAAGGTCGTAGAGCGCTTCTTGCCACTGCACCCCCCCCCTTACCCCAACCTCCTGCACTCTTGTACTTCTTGCACTGGCCCATCCCGAGTGGAGCCAGCGCAGGGCCCTTACACCAATGGCTTTCTACTGCCTATTCCCCAAACCAGAACCAAATTGCCATATGCCGGCCACACAAGACATCTGAATCTGGCTCGGCGCCAAGCAGGACCGGGGGCAGGATTTATCCATTTTTGTTACGCGTTACATCGGTCGATACACTGCGCACGTGCTGCCGACATCGCGCGTTTATTGCGTGTCACGTCCGTGGCACGACTCGGTTTCTGCAATGGGAAAACAACCCCGGGTGCCGCCGTAGCCACGCCACGCCAACGTGGCACGGCCCCGGTGCAGCTTGGTTGTACGTTGGAAAAAGAGGTGTTGTTGTCACCGGCAGCGAGGAACGGGTGCCCTCGGAGGAGGTGATCGCGGCGTGGGAGGATTATTTGACCCGAGTGGGGCTGAAGCGCTGGACCCTGGACGGCATCATGACGACACAGCAGGTGAACGCCACCGAGCTGCTGAGCCTGCTCGAGTCCTCGGAGCTGCAGGTAGCGGAGGACGTGCGCAGTCTGCTCGTCGAAAACCTCAACGTCGGTGAGCGGTGCGCGTCGTGCTGTTGGCGAGCAGAGGTTTTTAACACGGGCCACTTTGATCCATTGTCGGGAGGTAGCGATTCACCGCCGCCTTTGATGATTAAAAAAAATCCAAGATTTCATCACGATTGTGCTATCATATCATGAGACGAAGAATCCGTTCGGAGCAGTGCAACCGGTCGTTTAAAAAGGAAGAACTTTCCCACCCACACCTCCGATTAGCTCGGTTGGCTACGTATGGTGCGAAAGAAACTACATACGTACGTACCTGCTCTCCCATCAAGGAAAAGTGTTTGTCGCACGAGTCATTTGTCTAGTCACATTGGTTCGGGAATATATGCAATTTAAGTGCAGATCCAATTTTTTATGTGATCATAATTCACTGCTGGTCAGTGCTGAGTAATTAAAGTAGAGAGCATGGGTTATTGGAGTGGTACATTTTCTTGTACTGCCCCTGACGACAATGCAGCCCTGCAGCAGACTACATAGTGGTCACCCATGAAAGCGCTATCCAGCTTCTGAGATCAAACGAGATCGGGACGCATTCCGGGTGACTTGTTTTTTGGGCAGTGTAATCGAAGCATCTTTGGGAAATGTGGTTACTTGCTATGCTGTTGCGCAGTGGAATGTGAGTGTGAAAGTGTTTGCCGTTGGATTTTCTTTGCAGAGCGTGGTCCGTGGCTGATGAACAGCCTGGTGGATTACTACATGAGCCACAATTCGGACCAGGCCCTGCAGATCCTCTGTTCTGTCCGTGAGCCGCATGACAAGGTTGGTTTGCAAAAGGCGATCTTCCCCCCCACCCCCCTGAATCGAACCCAGGTCCCTCCTTGTTGCGAGGCACGAGTGTTACCCACTGTGCCGCCACCCTGCCGTCCAACAGCCACATGTAGTGTTTGTCATCCCTGTGTTTTAGCATCTCCTGGACAAATTGAACGAGTGCATGGCCCGGGCAGCCACTCGGCTTCCCAGTCTCAACTTGCTGGGTCATGTCGTGCGGAGGCAGCCGTCCTGGATCCACAAGATCTACAGGGCTCCCGTGTTTGCGTCGCTGCTCAAGTGCCTAAAGGCAAGCACGTGCCTACAGAAGGAAATAACAAGGCTGTCGGAACATTGGCATTGTGCTCCGATGGAGGGGACTGCAGTGTGTTGTGCAGTGGTTGATCGATTGGTCTGTGACAACATAAGATGAGCAGACAATATACCTCCACAACATCTGTCTCTCCATGTAATAATTAAAAGCACTTATTACAATGTCCCATGAACTACAAAGCCCCTTCTGGGAGTGCATAATTTCAGCAGCAATGGTTCAACACAAACTCTGTAACGCTGTGTAGTTGAGCTAGATATATTGTTCTGTCCGTGAAAGTTAATTAATTTTACTTGCTTCCATTTATTGTGTTTTTAAGTAAGTGTATCCAAGTAGGAGTCGGTGGCGCAGTGGATGGAGCACTGCAATGCCAACCGGGCCACCGTGTTTGATTCCCGGTCATGGTTAACACCAGTGGCACGTTATTTATGAACTGGTCCTAGACTCCTACCCTTCACCAGCCCACTCTGACCAGCATGGTGATGTACAGTCAAAACACAACCCCTACGATCGATGTAGGCTGCCCGTGGGGAGTCCTGCATTCAGAGGTGGATTGACAAAGGGCTGAAAATTATTATTAAGCTGCACTGTATTGTCACGTGACAATCACCTCTATTAATAAGTTGCCACTATCGCCACAGTCTATGGCATGTGACATCAACGGCCCACAGCTATTATTGTTTCGTGTTTAGAGTTTAACATCAATTGGTATGTTGACATTCACAGTCGCTGCATCTTCGAGCGAACACAGCGCCAAAACCTTTATGATTCATTGGATAGAATGGTTTGCCAAACTCTTAAAGCCAGAATCAATATCGGCATAGCAACGATAAACCACCTCTGAGATGTACATGTGAAGTATGTTTGTGTTTTTATCAAAATACGCATCACGAGTGGCCCTGTTACAACATCACCTGCAATGCACCCAATCTCATCGGTGCGGAAAAATTAATCATTGTGCTGTACAAATCTCGAACATCACTTTCCCACCCCCCCCACCAGCCTGCATTGACCGGCCTGGTGAAGCATTGAGTGCCGGCGACAGTGAATATTTTGTCAAATGTTGGCAATTGCCTGAAAATTGCCCAATTTGAATTGCATGTAAGCAACATCGTCCCCTTCCGCTAAACGACTGTGGACAGTGTCCGCAAACCATGGCACCTTGGTGGTAGCCTTGCTCTAAAACAGTGTTCTTCAATAATTTTCAGAGGTGGGGGCCACTTTTGCCAGTAATACATGTTAAACAATTGTGTTTTGAGAGCAGCACGATGGGGTGTTTTTACATTTGTGTATTGTCGGGGACTGCACGTCAAAAGCCGTGCTAAAGGCGACCCAGGATCTGCCAGTTGCCCGCGTGCCATGCAATGAAGAACACTGCTCTAATAATTGCGCAAGTTCGAAACCTACCTGATTATTATTAATGACGAACGTTGTTATGAGCAACCTAGCTGCACAAGGCGGCCTCTTGTTTTACGCCGACCCACGTTTTCTCCGCAGACGGATTCCAACGAGGTGGTGCTGACCACGGGGGTGCTGGTGCTCGCCACGCTGCTTCCCATGATTCCGCAAGCCGTCAAGCAGCACGTGCACGAGATCTTCGACATCTTCAGCCGCCTCGCCTCGTGGGGGCTCAAAAATGCCGGTGTGTGCCCGCCCCCCGCGCCCAGCTGTACCACAAGGTGCCAGGCGGTCGTCTTGTCGTACGGCTGATGTAGATGCAGATCGACAACTACAATCTCACATTTCGGTGGTCGAGCCAGATAACCGCGTCAGGAACAACGGACTTGTATCGCCGTGACGTCTCCTTCATATTTGTAGATCGAGCATTGCATCGTTATGTTATGTAGTCTGTTTTGGACAACTTCGGTCGCACACTGGAGTTTTTAATTTTCCATTTGTGAATCAGGTGGCAGTTGGTGCCGATTGGCCAACCGACTATGCGTCCATTTTTTATTGGATTGTATATATGTATGTTGAACTTGATGTAGCCAACCATGGTAACTGGAAGTGCTTGGGAAGGACAACAAACTAAAGACAAAAAGCAATTCTAAAGTAATGAGTTTTCAATCTTGGTTTAAAAATGGATGGCTCCAGTGGCTTCCTAATATCGGAAGGAATAGCATTCCAGGCGGCAGCATTGTTTCAAGAAAAGCGAACTGAACTGGTTTCGACATTCGCTGCCTCATCGGCAGAGTCTGTTTTGCTTGAATCCATTTTGGGAAGCTGCTGCACTTACAGGCAAGGGCCCTGTTCTTATGATATGGGTGGGTGGGGGTGGGGGGATGCTAATTTGACACAGACTTGTATAATACATGACACGCACGGTACATGATTATGAGTTACGTAATAAATCCTGCCTGTGTTAATGCCACCACCACCAGGCCACGTCCCGGAGGTGTGCGTGGTGCACCTGCATGCCGGCGTGTACGCCCTGTTCCACCGCCTCTACGGCATGTACCCATGCAACTTCCTGTCGTACCTGCGTGCGCACTACAGCATGCGGGAGAACAGCACCCTCTTCACGGAGGTCATCCTGGTGAGTGCTCTACCAAGCACTAAGACAAAGATCCCTCGTATAGTCTTAATAGGCTGTTGGGGCAAGTGCTGTTAGCGAGCATCAATGAAGGCCGGCATGGGACACGAGTGGGTGGGTGGCCAGCACCACGCCCGGCCGCCTTTGTCTCCCCAATGGCGTTGTTTACACACTGTACCAGGTACTCATTTGAGGCTATGTCGACCTAGGAGAGGCCCAGGACCGACTCAGGTAATCGTTACCGGTGTTGGCCATGAGTGGGAATTAAACCCTGGTGCTGGGTTTGTAGTGCAGTCCACTACCGCTCCCCACGCACGCGCCCACACACGGCACCTGTCGAGCCTTTCATGGATGTCTCATGCATTGTAATGTGCACTGTCCTCAATACCGGGCTAATTCAGGGGCGTGGTGGCTCCAGTGCAGACATGGTTTATAAACTCAAGTCAAGGCATCAAGGCAATGCGCCTCTTCCATTTACAGCCCTGAGACAGTGGTGAAAATTCCACATTTCTATGACAGCTGGGGCAGGGGGCTTGGGTGGTGGGGGGGATAATGGGGTTGAGTCAACACCAACCATGTTGTCATGTTCTGCACTGTGTTTTCTCAGCCCATGGTGGAACGCGTGCGGGTACATCCAGAACTTGTCACGGGGACCAAGGAGTACGAGATGGACACCAGCAAGTAAGTTTATCCCTGCTGTCATCGCACCTTCATTCACAATGCTGCTGTCCATTGGGAGTTGGTTTGTCGGGTACGCATGCACGATATTTTGAAACTCGCGATCATCAGAAATGCGTAGGCGAAGAAGAGCCGGAGGATTTCTCCAACTCTGGCTTGTCCGCCTGCTGATGCTAGTTGTAATTGCTGGCGAAACGTCATGCTCGAATTGTAAATGTTGTGGGTTTACTCTCAAACACACCGGTGTACTGTACTAGTAACGAATTGGCATATTTTGTTTACGTGACCAACCTTACTAATTGGCTGTCGGGTGGTGGCGGGTTTATGCCACATTTATATTTACGGGATCTAATCCAAAAACCTGTTATGGATGATATTGGTCACGTAAGACTCCTACGTATTAAACTGACGAAGAGTCGTTGCGCCAAGCAGTGGTTCATGTTTCGCCGCATTGTAGAAAGCCTGCAAGGTTAGGCCGGTGTCCTACTATTGAAAGAAAGTTTTAAAAGTTAAAAAGTGGAATGCAAGTCTCCTGTTCAATGCAGACCTCAAGAACAAAGGAAAAATGATGAAAATGGTGTTTGATGATTTGAATCGGACACACCTACGATTTTTCCAAGTTCGAGAAGACTGTAAATTGTTCTAATTAATGACGATAATTTGAACTTGTGACACGCACGGTGATCGTCATTGTCACGATCGTCGCCAACGACAAAACCCTTGACGTTCATCTAAAACCGCTTTCTCTCCGAGGTGGAAGAAGTATGAAACTCAGGACGTGGTCATCGAGTGCGCCAAAGTGTCGCTCGATTCAAAGGAGGCGTCGAGTGAGGAGGGTTTCTGCCCCGTCCCTGATCAGCTGCCTCTGCACTGCCTGTCCCAGGCGACACCCGACGTCTCCTTACAGTCGGGTATGGCGCTGTTTGGGGATTACTTTTGCAAAGGCAACATAAAAAATAATTTATGGCCATCATAGTCTATCCACTGCTGGGTAAGAAAGCCTTTCCCACTCCTTATGGTCATTGTTTGACCATACTTCACCATGCTGGTCATTGGAATGATGGAGTGGCGTGGGGAGATGCCAAGGACCGCCGCGAACGTTAGTCGTGGTCGTTAATCAGATTTTGGGTTCATGAGGAAATGCGCCAACAACTATGCTGCCACTTCACCCCCATTTCCTTATAAAAATCCAAAAGGTAACATTTTCCAATTTGCACCCCCAAAAATTATAGCCCAGAGATTTATTTGTTTTCACTCGTAGAGCAGAGTAAGCCTTTATTTCAAATTAGTTTTGAGTCTTATAGTATACATTAACATGTAGGCCTTCCATCATTCGTAACTGATTGGCCTTGCGTAGAGTGTGACGTAAGCCGATAAGTAGTGGCCAAAGTGACTGGTGCAAGCATTGATTTCAATAAATGAATCGTCACAAGCCTGAGGGTCTTCGTGTTCCCTCCCTCCCTCGCAGGAGCGTCTCTCTCTGGCTCCATTTCCACGACACCTACATCGTCGCGGATGTCTCATTCCTCCACGCCCATGAGGGTGCGCCGCCTCTCAATGGAAGAAGGCGATGTCAGGGGCCACCAGGTGACCAATGAACATTCATGCAGGCCTGACACGCAACATTAATTCAGTAGCTCCCCTCCATTAACTGGTAGATTGACAGGTTAACCCATTGGCAGTGTGCTTTCTCCAGCCATGTCTGCGCCACACCCCCGTCGCTTCAGCTGGACATGATTCCCACCGGTCCGCGTTTTCAAATCGTGTTGCCATGCCTTGGGTGACCTTGATCCCGTTGGCCTGCGGCTACGCCTTCGGTCATGATCGGCGTCGTGGTGCCAGCGACACGTCCACGTGATGCACGTTTGACGATGCTTCACTGCGCTGGTTACTGCGGGTTGGTGAAGAAGGTGGGTGGGGGGAGGGGGGGAAGGCGGTGGGGCCAAGAGTGGTTGAGATACCGTTCCCCGATGACCTCGCATAAGACATCGGTGTGAGAGCTGCCACACATTTGACAGCACGATGATTATAATGGAGGGTGTTTTCACATGTTGTGTATTGTCAGGGGCTGCCCGTCAGGAGCCGCACTAACTGTCACCAGTGGCCCGTGGGCCTTGCAATGAAGAACACTGCTCTATCGAGTAAAATTCCTCCTTTAGCTCCCTTCCAGTGACCTCCGATAGTGACACGAGACGTCGCCCCTGTTGTTTGTGCGGGGGGCACAGAAGGGGATCCTGAGCTCCACGGCGGAGTGCAGCGAGGTGGGTTGGAGCCCCGCCAACGTGTGCGGGATGAGCACGCCGCCGTCGTCCCGCGGCATGTCGCCCGTGCACAACCAGAGCGACGTCGCGCACGGCAGCTCGTCGCAGCATGGTACGGACTGCACGAGAGAGCGCGAGGGAAACCGCGGGAGGACGCAGTAGAACGCATGGGCACGTGGCAGGCAGAGATTAGTTTCGCGCCGAATGTTTCCGCACCGCCTGGTAAGGCTGCAAGGTGCAGGGAGTTGGCGGGTAGCCACAGCCCTAGCAGGAAGTGTGCTAGATGTTTAAGTATCCTACCAGATATATATTTTTTACCTTGTCTTGACGGAGGGAGGTGGGGGGGCCCTTGGGGGGCCCTGGCGATGGGGATCGTGCCATTGCGCTGTCACTTCCACGTGTCGTCTGGGATGGTATCCTTTGGTGCACATGTATGTAAGCACACATGTATGTGTGCATACAGAGTCTGCTTTACTTTTTTGTATTAAGTTCGTTTTCCTTCCCCCGCACCTGAGATTAGCACGGTTGGCTTCGTACGGTGCAAAAGAAGTTCAACATATATGCTTGCAAGGGGACATGAGTCTGTGGGCGATCTGCAGTGCAATTTTTTTCCGCTTCTCAATTTCAATTACGAGCTGCTTCCGTGGTTGAATGTAGCATTGCCAGTCGCTGCAGATGTCACGTGACGCATGATATACAATGCGAACGACTCGAATAATAAATTCTCACATGCATGACTGGACTTGTGTATCTTGAGCATAAGAATTCATTTGAATCAACTTGTGAAATGCCCGTTAAACAAAAGTGCTTTAGGCTTGTCAGATAGGTGGGGAGTGCACATTCTAGCTAGGGATCTTCAAGATGAAAGCTGTTTATTTTTTTTTAGTTGTCCCTCCAATGCGTTAACTTCTCTATTCCCAGCCATTTCGGGGACCCCTTTAGCGACCCCAACCACGTCCCCTGGACCGACCCCCTCGGACGAGTACGTTCACATCTCTCTCGACAGCACCGGCTCCTGCGCGGTGAGACCACACAGCAGCAGAGGTCCCCTCGATTCCATGCAACGTGTTCCATCCGTTGCCATCTTTAGAATGGACATGCGTGTTTTGAGTGTTTGACTCCTATAGATTTCTACGTTAATAAGCCACTTCGCTCAGCTGTCATTTGTGGCCAGGGCGCATCTGAAACATAGCTAGATAGTTCTAGATTTAAAGCTTTCGTGACTGCTAGGATCCATACTCTTTGGTTCTATTGGGTAAAGTCACGTAGGTGAAAATAACATATAGGTGAAAACCCTCCCCATAGGGGTTATCAATTCTAGATTTAAAGCTTTCGTGACTGCTAGGATCCAGAGTGTGGATCCTAGCAATCACGAAAGCTTTAAATCTAGAATTGATAACCTCTATGGGGAGCGTTTTCACCTATATTTTATTTTCACCTACGTGACTTTACCCAATAGAACAAAAGAGTATAGCTAGATAGCTCAGTGGGCTTTAGCTGGTAAAATAAAAATAGTTTAGTTGTAATCTCTCGGTCTCCCATTGCAATGAGCTGTATAGCTTCTGCACATGAGCTGTTTTCATTAGTTCATCTGTACGTTGTGCACCATCCTTGGGTATGAGTCATCCTTTAGCTGCCACTCTCTCTTTGGTCTCGACCATTGCCCATTAACTTGCTTCTAATAAATTAAATACAACGAATTAATTAGCTAACAACGTCTTGATTTATATTCCTCTTTGTGTTTTGGATTGTGCAGCGTTGTGAGATGCAGTTTCCAGGAATAATGTTAGAACAAAATGCTATTTTTTTTCATTATTTTAGTGATGGCCATGCTGAAGCCCGTTTTTCAATATTTCTGCAAATAATGTGCAACTGAAATAAAACAAATTGTGAAACAAATCACATGGCTCCCTACCCACCTGTCCCACCAACCATTGGAGTGCACAATAGTTATCTGCAGCATCTCTTACGCTGCCTGTGTGCGGTTATTGTCACGTGTCGTTTTACACTGATGTTGATTCACTCTTGTTTGCTCAGGATGCTCAACAAGAAAAGCCTAGGCCTGGCGTCAGTGAGACAGGCAGTGCAGGCAAGGTTACTGCCCCCTCCATTGGTAAGCCTCCACTGGGAGTTTATTTGGATTTTGCATGTTCGCCACTGGTGGCATGGATTTTTCTCCGGGTCCTCTGGTTTATCCCTCAAAATTTATAAACGTGCGCTCAAGAGTATTTGTCTGCGATTAAATATTCACATGATAAGCCGCCACTTCGTTGAGCTATCATTTGTGGCCAGGTCACTTCTGAAAAAGAGCTTTATAGCTCAGTGGGACTTACCTTGTAAAATAAAAAATATATTTTTTTATAATTTTCTAGAGTGTTTGCTGCAACAAACTTGTTTTTTGCGGCACAGCTGCCTCTGAACTACATCTCACATCCTCCTCGCTGAGTCCGTTTGCCTTCCCGTGCCGGCCCTGCAGACAGATCTCTGAACAACTCTGCGGCTGAGCGCCACGCTGCCAAGAGCAGTGCCGTTGAAGTGGGAAAGCAAGGTATGCTGAACTTCTTTCTCACCGTACATAACCAACCGTTCTAATCGGAGGTGACGGTGATATTGGCTTTTGGGAATTGTCTGTTGAGTGGCTTTTGGAACTCGGTTATTGCAGACTGCATGTCTCACAGTGGCTAGAACACTGCTGTTTAATCCCAACAGTCCATGTGGTTTAATTACTGACAGTCTTATTTTTTCACATGGCATTTGAAAAGCAATGGACCAATGTAAAATGTAGTTGCATTATTATTATTGAGTCTCAAGCGGTGAGAATTCTGCATTAGAATGTTTAACACGTAGGCTTTCGTGACCAATATCATCCATAATAGTATTTTTTGGGTTAGATCGCGTAAATATAAATGTCGTTAAACCCACCACCACCCGACACAGCCAATTTTAGTAAGGTTTGACACGTGAAAAAAACAGGCCAATTTGTTACTCGTTCAGCACACTGGTGTGTCGGAGAGAATCCACAACATTTACGACGCTTCGCCAGTAATTACAAGTAGCATCATCAGGCGGACAGCCAGATTTGTGATCACAATCTGACTGTCCGCCAAAGCGTCAAAGCGCCGATCACAGCCGTGTGTGTGTGCTGCCACGCCCGCCTATGGCATTTGTTTTCCGCCAGCACCTGCACTCAAGCAGCCTGACCACGCTTGTCGCTGTGTTTGTGCCTACGCGAGAGCAGCGGAGAGCGAAGGAGGAGGGGAGAGTGCCGTGGGCAGCCCGGGCAAGGTGTCCCTGAAAGAGCTGCAGATGGTCATCGAGAACCTGGCCTCCTGCGCCCCTGCGGAGAAGGACGGTGAAGATGGTGGGTGCCCCCGCTCCTATCCCCGCCCACAGCGAATGCCTCTGCTAACCTGAGCATGCCTCCGCATGCCTTGCGGGTCGTCAATGTTATTTGACCACACTGCACCACCCTAGTCAGTGCGGGTTTGTGATGGCGGGTTTGTGATGGCGGGAACCGTAGGCATTGAATCGTAGAAGTAGTTGAACTTGAATTGGGTGACCGCTGTATGTGTGGCTGGTTGTTATCGACTGTGGGGCTACATGGTGGGCAGCAGAGGGTAGTGCACACAAGATAATATGTTGTACTGTGCTTCTTTGCTGTCACATCTGTGCTGCCATCACACTTTCATTAACCCAGACTGATTATTGCAAGTGAAATATGGTCAATGAATGTCCATGACGTGCATGACGCGGGGAGGCCTCCTTCAGCAGTGGATGACGAAAAGAGCTCTACGTGTACACCTTGTGTAAATACTACTGACGAATATTTTAGCCGAGTCAATCATATTACAAACTAGAATGCCGTTTCATTTAACTGGTATGTCGTTACTCCCTTATCTGTTACTCTATTCCTTTCCTACAAACAGCAATTCATCATCACCAATTTTCTATCCACTGCTAGATGAAGGCCTCCCCATGCCTGCGCCATGCCTCGCATTCTAGTGCAGCTATCATTATCAGCGTGCTGAAGTAAGATTAAAAAACTCCTACGATCTGTGGGATGTGAAGAGTCTCATCCAGCAGTGGATTGACAAAGTCCTCTACATGTGCATGCAACGCATATTGGTAGTGCCATGTATTTTCCACGCCGCAGTATGTTTTCTTTGAGAAACGCGTGGTTCGAGGGCCTCTCTTCACGGAATCGCACCGCTTTCCCCCCTCGCCGTGTCTGGCAGTGGCGGTGAACAACGAGGTATCGGAGATCAACGAGATGTGTCCAGCGCCGGCCGACCACCGGGGCGGCTTCGACTCGCCCTTCTTCAGCGCCGATGCGGCGCCGCCCGGCACGCAAGCCGTGCCGGGCACCCACGGCGGGGAGGCGGCCGTGACGCAGGCGGTGCAGCAGACGTCTCGTAGCACGAGGTGAAGCCTGCTGAGCCGCGCTCGATGTTCTCTTGCTCTATCGGCTCTCGGTTATAGAAATTCGACGACGCTTGAGAGATGAGCACCTCCGATTAGCACTGTTGGCTACGTATGGTGCGAAATAAGTTCTACATACATTCATGTGCTTGTAATACGAAGAGTCTCTCGTATCAGTATTTTGGATAATCTGGAGTTTGGAGGTGGGGGATTTGGATAGGTCGAAGGGGGAGTTGTCAAGTCAGAATGTGAGGCTGATGTGGATGATGGTTTCAGCAAGAGCCGATGGCAAAAAGTGGTGGTTGTGAGATGTGCGGATAGAGATTGGAGGTCCTATGGAATTGAGATATGTGAAGAGAATGAAAGCTTGGGATAAAAGTTGACTCCAAGTTTGTGCACACTACGCCAGTGCAACATCTGTTTATAGTGGGTGCTCGCTCAAACTGGAGGCTTTGGTAAGTTAGGATGTTTGCCATTGAGGAGCACTTCAAGATATGAGAACATTTAGCTGGAGAAAGCTGGAGCGCATCGAAGGTGAGACTGCATAATGACACCATGTGAGAGCAGACAGTGATTTTGGAATCTAGTCTTTTTCAAATTGCGTAGGTGGGAGGTAAATCGTTGCTTATCGGCATATTTTTTAAAAATGTTTTAAGTTTGCGTTAACTTTTATTACGCATTTAAAAATGCACAGGCAGTTGAACGCTTGAATACCATTTCCTAAATCTTGGTAAGCAACAGCTGAAATTTGAATTTGTAATATTTCCTTTTTTCCAGTAACAAGACACAGGACAGGTCAACCACCTCCTCTTTTGCGCTCACCCCAGCCTCGGCCTGTGGCCGAGCGGCGGCCGTGTCGGCAACATGCTACCCGTACGAGCACCTGTTCGCGCTCGCCTTCCCGCGAGCGGCGGTGGGTGCGTTTGTCGACCACAAGTCGGCCGAGTTGCGCGGCTTGGACGGCTCCCACCACAGCGGCTCTCCCTGCGGAGTGGCGCCGTCGCCACTCGACGTCATCGATGTGCTCATGCAGAGGGGTGGCGACGTTCACGCCAAGGAGCTCAGCCGGTGAGGGCTCCGGCGCTGGCCCCGAGCGCCGCTAAATGCCAGGCATGGTCGTGGGCACGCCCTGTGGTCCTAGAGCTCGGAAGGCAGTGGTCGGTGGTGGATCGCGTGCAGATTTGTGAAACTCCCAAACTCATTACTAGGCTGCGAGGTGGCGAGGAGATGTCGATGATAGAAAATGTGTATTGTGAACTTGTCTGGGCTGATCTTTTGAATGTTGTTGACCACTTGTATTGTTGTCGTTTTCTTTAGGTACTTCCAGTTCCTTCCCATATGTTACACAAAACACTGCTGTACATTGAATTAGCCACACATTGCAATGGATAAATGACGTTTTTACACTCCGGATATTTTCTTTTTTCTAATTTTTTTTTATTTCGTGTTGTTACTGGCTCCTGTAGGCTGTCTCTCCCCAGCCAAGCGGCAGACTGGACACACTTTGGAGGTGCGGCGTGATGAATATATTTCAATGAAAAGCTACATGTTGGCAAATGCATCGTGGCACCAACAAAAAAAATGGCAAAGTACAAAATACGTGTAACGCCTTTTTGAATATTAATCTCCCGAGTTTAGACTAGTGTAATAATTGATGTAGGCGGTGGTGGAAACGAAAGACACAAGCCAAACTAACGATTTAGATCTCGTCGACGCATACCTTCGCCATGTACTCTGCTGGGCTGTCCAAGACGAGTTTGAAGCTAAGTGAGGAAGAGAAAAGAGTTTAAAAGTTTCTTTGAGGCATACCAAGCGGTGCTTCAGTGACATCGCTAACTAATATGGTTGCGAAACAATACAATAATAAACATGTTTTATATTTTTATTATTGTATTGTTTCCCTTCTATGTGACTTTACCGAAAGAACCAAGAATATGAATCCCTGCAGTCACGAAAGCTTTAAATAAAAATTTAATATGGTTGCGTTAAAATACACGGCAGCCTTCTTGTTTTGTACGGCATCTTCAAATCGGTGGATGAATTTAGTTCTGTCAATTTGAGCTTAGAAATTTACTCTGGCATCTGGGATCGCCAGACGGATTCCATTTGTACCTTTTGCAAAAAAAGTGGCGGGCGATGATTGGTCGATGCAAGTGGTGGATTTCACTTTACCGCACGACTGCTTACATTTTCCCAACTTCTGGAGGAGGAAGCCACGCACACTCTGACATGGTAGTTTATTTTTTGCATCTTCAATAAGTAATGTATGGGGATAATGTCACCGAAGTACTATGGCGAGAATGGAACATTTAAGAGGCCGTCCACTGGGAAGATGGAGCAATGAAATCTGCTTGTTTCTAGGTGCCAGATTGATTTTTACATTGCAGGATCATTAGGAGGTTTGGAAAAGACCATCTAGCTGTGGATTGATTATAGCTGCTGCTGATGGTGATGACTACGGTAGCACACCGGAAAGCCATTGAGAAGTAGCTCTTCTCATTCAGCAAGCTTCGAACTTGTGTTGGACAGCCTGAAGACACGCTGCCTAGGTGTGTCTGCTGCAAGATAATGTTTGTATTTTTTCTTTTGAGGGTACATTTCCTGACACGAACAACAACAAAAAATTTCAACCAAAAAAAATCACTAACTTGAGACCGTTGCCGATGTGACTCGCGCAGGCTCCGTTCCCCCGGAGGAGATGCACCTTCTGCACAGCCGCCTGCACCTGCTTCATGCGCAGCTGCTCTACGAGAGGCACAAGCGCGAGCAGCACGCCCTGCGCAACCGTCGCCTGCTTCGCAAGGTCATCACTGCCACCGCGCTGCAGGAGCAGAACGCCGCCATGGTAAGAGTGGCAGCGCGTGGAGACGCACAGGAAGAAGTCTTTATTTTTTTCCTCCCGATTTTCCAACGGAAGTTGAAAGTGATTATACATACATGAGCTCATTTCTTTACAATCGATTAGCACGGTTGGCTACGTACGGTGCGAAAGAAGTTCAGCTCGCATACATGATGCATTAGCTCTTTCTGTCCCAACCATGAGAGGCGTCTTCACAATACCTCTCTTCACGATACCTCTTGTGAAGAGAATTCATTCTGCACAAAATGTTAGCGTAAAGTTGTATTGCTATTCAGGTCTTACCGTGAACAAAACTTGCTCAATTCGTGGAACGGTTCCCTTAACTTGGAGAAAAAAAAACAGTGCTACAAGACCGCCATCCGAGCTCTGCTGTTTTGTGGTGGCCGACACGTTCTGCTTCCTGTGTGCGTACCTGTGCTGGAGCGCTACAATTATCGTCGTCACTAACTAAATGTTTAATGGCGTTAAAAAACCATGCATCTGCGTGTTTTTTTTAATTGTCTCTGCGCTTAAAATCGGACTTTATTTAGACAGCTCATCGGATTCCTCCAAGGTACAACAAGAACTGCAGGAGTGCAAATTATCGAAAAGGTCAGCAAGTCGCTAAAAATAAATATGCATAAGTACATAAATTCCTTCTCTCCCCCACCCCTTCCGTGTGGCACCGCGTCCTGCAGAGGGACCAGCTGCGCCTGCAGGACGAGGAGATCTTAGTGCTGCGTCGCAGCCTGACAGAAGAGCAGCAGAGGAGCCAGCAGCAACGCATGGAGAAGGAGCAGAACATGGGCTTCTATCAGGTGCAGCTGCGCTCCCTGCAGTCCGACCGTGACAGTCTGTCTGCCAGCAACCGTGAACTGCAGGTAGGCGATGATCGATTGATTTAATTCCAGCCTGCATGCACTTTTATGTCCAGAGTTTCTCGTCGTTTTTAGAGTCGCTTGCTCACCGACGGTCAGTTGCCTCATTATCACTCTCCTATTGCTTCTACCGTGGTTACTGTGCCCCTTAAACTTCACTCATTGATTCATCCTTCTGAAGTGCGGTGAGTTTATGGGTTCATCCCAGTCTGCTGTTACTGCACAAAACCAATACTTAATTTGGCTGAATTACAGGTCCTGAGATTATTTTTTACTGATTCTGGTGGAAAATTGCTACCCCTACTGTCTAGACCAGTGCTTAGCTTAACACACAGGCTTTCGTGACCAATATTTTTCATAATTGGCTTTGTCGGATGGTGGCGGGTTTAACGACATATTTGTAAAGCCAGAGCTCGCTTGACGGGATCCCATATCCGAGAGGCAGCTCTGTGATATCTAATTCTGTTTGCCGTTCTCTTAAGTGTCATACCGATCCTATGGGAGAAACTAAAAAGTATGTCGTGTTTGGTGCATGTTTGGCAGTGCAAGTTGGACGAGACTTACAGGGATGTGGTTCGGCTTAAAGTGGAACTGCAAAAAGCCAACTGCAAGGTGTACGACACGATCCACGAGCTCCAGCGTCTGCAGGAGAAGGTGGGTGTGGACAGCAGCAGGTTCTGTTTCATGTCGTGTCGGGCACAATTTGTCTAATCAGACGTGTCCGGACTGTATTGGTCACGGTGGTTGAGCGCATGGCTCGCAGTCAAAAGGCAGCAAGATGATTATAAGCGAGGTACCACTGTGGGCAGTCGGCAGTGGTTGTCTTATGGATTAACTGAATCTCTGTCGTAAGAACGTGGCATTTTCACCGAGAAGAAGATTAATTCGCGCATAACTTTTTGGGATGAAAGCCACCGACAATTGGCAGATTTTTCTCAAACAGCCCTCTACTTACCTACATTGAGTCGTAGGCTGTCTGATGAGCGTAAAGCAGCTTCATTAACAAGCAGGAATAATCAGTCGAGCACACCGTCGTAGTGCTCAAGACATCGGTGCATTGACGTATCAAAACCCGTTGTCGTGGCATTGAGTGCCGTAATGACACTGCGATTTTTTTTTTAAGTCTCGTGCTTTAAAAAGGAGCCGTTTGTTTTGAGCCCGGGATTTTCCTCCTTTATGTGACCGCACATTCTGCCCTGCGTGCTTGCGTGCGTGACCGTGCGATTTTGCTCTCGCAGCTGGAGTCCAGCGAGACGCTGAGCCAGCAAGCGGACATGCTCAACCGGCAGCTGCTGGTGCTCGGCGAGCTCAACGAACTTTACCGCGAGGAGCTGCACAACATCAACCACTACGCGGACAAGGTGAGCGCGCACACTCTGTACGTAATAATCATCTTAATAAATGAGGTCGTGGTAAAGGCGAGCCTAACAATTGCTTGCTCGTGATGTTGCTTGGCGGAAGGGTCAACTAACAGGGGAGGCTCTAGAGGGACCCCTCCGGAAGCTGCATTGGGAAAACGTCAGTAACTCCATTCCTGTGCAAAATGTGGTGGCTTTATTTCTTTCGGGTAGCCTTTCCAGCTTGTCCTGAATAATTCCAGCCGTTACTCGAGTCCAGCTTGGATGTTTAGCATGTAAATTGAACAAACAAATGTTGACAAGCGCATGTTTTTATTTAAGAATCGTAATGTTTATTTAGACTGCAGGAGGAAGACCCCGGTGGGCTATGAAAATATTTTTCAGACGTCCAGTATGGGCGGGTCGGCAAGTTACTACAACAACAACAAACAATACAAACACACGATGCGAGTGCAAAATAGATTTTAAAAAGTGAACAAGTGACTAAATAGAAATAAAGTGTGCTTTAATAGTCCCACACCACAAAAATTACACATCCCTGAATAAAATGGCACCTGAACATTGAGCTATCGATACACAGGTAAGAATCAAAGTTGGTTTTCTACTACCAAAGGCTGAACAGACTAGGGGCAAGTGCTGTTAGGGAGCACCTATGAAGGCCGGCACGGCACACGAGGGGGCGGGTGGCCAGTACCACGCTCGGCCGACTTTTTTACACACAGCACGAGGTACGCATTTGAGGCTGAGTCGACATAGGGGAGGCCCAGGACCGGTTCAGATAATCCTCACCGGCGTTGACCGTGGGCGGGAATCGACACCGGGTCGCCGGGTTCGTAACGCAGCGCGCTAACCGCTACACTACCGCTCCCTACCACCACCACCCTCCTGCCGTTGGCCTTGCTCAGGAGGGGGAGATGTGCTTGCTGTCGCACCGCCGCGAGCTGGAGAAGGCGCGCCAGTGCATGCGGCAGCAGGCGCAGCGTGTGGACGCGGCGAGTCGGCGCATCAATGACCTGGAGAACAGCATCATGGCTAAGGACATCCTCCTCCTGGAGCAGAAACGCTTCCTCGAGAACGTCAAAAACCAGGGCAGGTGAGGTGGGGTCCCGGGTGGCTCGGAAGTCGGGGCATTGAGCTGGTGCTACTGAGAACCTGGGTTCAAATCCGGGACGGTTGCATGTAATAAAAAAAACTCTGTTTTGAAGTGGCTTGATGGTCTCGGCCACAATAACCATACACAAACATGTAATATCATCTGCCATGATCAATCCACTGCTGGAGGAATGCTTCAGCCAAGCTTCCACTATCTCTCATGATGCTTCAATCCATTCGGCACTGATTAATTACAAGTCGCAAATGTAATTTAATTCCATATTTAAATAACACTCGGATTCAGACACTGACCGTCTCTGCGAGCGCGGAGGGTTCTCAGTGCGCGGTGCTGCTCTCTTCTCGCAGGAGCCAGCAGCAGGCGATGGAGAGCAAGTACAAAGCGCAGAAGAGGATCAACCAGGCGCTGGAGAGCCACATGCTGGAACTCTACAGCTGCCTGGAGGTGCTGGAATCGCCTGCTGGTTTCACAGACCGCCCGTGAGTCTCGCGTTCATACATGCGTATGAACACCTGAGCACAGCTCCAAAGGCCCCAAAACATGAAGCGGACGGCAACAAAACGAGCAGTAATCATTGAGTTGTATACCGTAGTGAACATAAGCTGCTATAACTATAACAGGGCTCTAACGGGACTTCTCTGGGTCATTGTGTTTTGTTTTCGCGTGATGTCTGTCTTTTATTATTATTTTTTGCTCCCCGTGCATTTTGTTTGCGATGGCGTGCATGCTTCGTCGTCATCGTAAAGCCTCAGTTTGCTGTGCAGGAAGGAGAGGGCGCTCGGAGGCAACGTGGCAGACGCAGACTCGGCGACCCCGCTGCCCGTCGCCGCTGGACCCGAACGACCGGCCAGCCTGCTGCCCGGCGCGCCCATCGATGCCCGTGTGCCCCTCGTTAGCGGTAGGACGACAACAACGAACAACAACACCCGCCATTCGCCACTAAGTGGCGCTAACGTCACTAAGCGGTGCCTGGACCAGGCCAGGTGCACTTTGAGGCCACGTGAAGTGTCGGATGGCTCGCTGACAGGAGTTTACGGGACGGACCCAGGTGCCATGCGTTGACTGGACCATGGTGTACCGACACCAGCGACAACTTGTAGTGGACGTGGTTATGTTGCTCAGATACCTCTTGTTCCATTGTGTAACCAAACCACGCCGAGGCCGTGCCAAGTCTGGCGGCTCCAGGTGTTTTTTTTTCAACTTCAGAAGGCAAGCGTGCTGCTGACGTGGCATGCAATGAACAAGTCAAGATGCATGTAGATGACGTGGTTACAGTGTAGCCTCGCAGCGCACCAACTGACATAATGTCCCTTTATCCCTGCCCCAGGTCCTACTTTGCCCCAAAACAAGATTCTCATGTCTTGTGAAGCCATGGTATATAGCCTTTGTAAAAATACTCAGATTGGATGTGCCAATAGAAGAGGGAGTACTGAACTGGCACATCCTGGGTTCGAATATTGGTTTCAGCCAAATGTTATGAAACGGTGTTCTCGGTTGCAACCAATTGATGTTCTCAGCCCAGATACCAAAGACTGCACAAATATACCAAGACAGAATCCACACATGCGCATTAATTTATTTGTTTAATATTTGCGTGCGTGCGTGCGTCTGCTCGACTACTCCAGCAGATCCGCCGTCCGCTGGCCTGATGGGGGTAGCCGCGAGCAACCCATACCCTCCGTCCCGCAGCTTCCTGGGACAGCACGCGCGGGAGCTGCTACGCAGTCGAGGAGGTGGCGGCTGCGATGACAACCGCGAGGACGACGCGAGCGCGGACGCTTCGTCGGCGGCCGGCGTGCCTCGTGAGCCGCCCAGTTCCATGGCGGCGCCAGCGTCCGCATCGCACGCTCGCGGGACCACCAGGAACCTTGGCGGGGGTGGGCAGCACCAGCAGCACGCCCTGAATGTCAGGATTCTTCAGCAGCGGGGAATCATGGACTACGACGAGAAATAGCGAGCGGCGCCCCATCAGACATTCCCTGACTTGTCTCCCTCGTGGCAAATTGATGGAATACATTGGTGGGTTTTTTTTTTTACTGGTGCGCGCTGCTCGTTAAAAAGCGGCATTGTCGAATAATGGTACGAACAAATAAGGTGCTCTGTGCGCACTCCGTAACTGATGACGAAACAACAACGACAAAAAACTCGGTAAAATATGCTTTGTATTTTGGAATAATATCCCAATCTTGTCCCTTCTTTGAGGGCAAATGAAGGTGGTGCCCCTCCCCCACCTCGTTTTTGTTGAAGTTGCCAACCAAGCTTCTAATTTTAACCCGGCTGGTGCATTTAAAGAGGCATTCTGACTAAATGTAGCTCCCGAGGTACTGCCACCACAGCTCGGAAAACGTGCAGGATCTCGCAGTGCGCGCACACGCGCGCACTCGCATATGCCTGACTCGACGTAGCCTTTACGGTAGTCGCGCCCAACTTTGCATGCACTCGCCAATGGGGTGTAACCTTGTGTAGAAATAATTGCCAAAAAAAAACCCCCGACAAAAAGCAAAAAAAAATACAAAACTGAAAAAAGTTTAGAAAAACATTTATGCTGCTGATATAAGGAGGAAAGTGCCAAAATTGTGTTGGAAAGGTTACGTTACACGTGAAGGTGTAATGACCTGGTGCATTGTTCTGGTTGTGTGTGATTTTCTGTTTTTTTTGTCAGGATGGGGTTTTTTTTATAACATGACTGAACTCGGTGTCTGGAGATATTTATTGCACATGTGAATTACGATAACCCTGGAGGTTAATGGAACAGACTGCAGTTTGTCGTTGACCTTGTGTTCTGAACACTAAGGCTCGCCTTGGGTGCGCATTGTGTACAAGAGATGCAGCTTTCTACAAATGTTGGTCACTTTTCTCCTTATGATGATGGGGGGGGCGGGGGGTTTGTTCACTTTGGGCTGGCGGTATTTAAGATGTGCGCTTAATGTTTTTTTTATTTTTGCGGGGGAGGTGGGGGGGGTCATCTCTAAAGCGCTCGCTGTTTTTTTTTTGCAGTGTCGTTAATATTTTGCTGTTCTGCCGTAACGCGGGAGTGGTTACCGCGCAGCCGTTTGCCTGATGTTGCTTTTTCCTCCCTGCACATCACATGGCGACCAAACTCTTGCAAGCAAAAAAAAAGCTAAAGGAAAAAAAATGCCTCTCCACGTACTTTTAGTCGATGACTGAGCCGAAAAGATTTTGCACTTTAAACATTTTTTTTCTCTCGTAGCGTCACAGGCTTATGTCCAACACGACAGTTCTCAAGTACTTCCATTCGTACGAGCCCTCTACTGGCTTTGGAGTGGCGTCCAGTTGTTTCGACGACAGTATATCACGAGAACGTGAAGCGTGCGTGGCTACAGCGCGGAAAATTAGTGTAGCAGGCGTACTCACTCGGCCTTACGTGTCCTCTTCGACGATATGCAAGAGCCAGGTCTGAGGGTGTGTGCGAGGTATTGTCGCTGTACTACCGACCAGTAACCCGGGGCCTGGAAGTGGTTAGTGCCTTGTTTTAGTATAGCTCTTTGCGTGGCCGTTTTTATGCCGTGACCGTGCACCAGTTGCTGGTGCCTCCGGCAGGACGGTCCGCCGCTCGTGGCCCGCGGCGATGTCTGCGTGTGCGTGGAGGAGCGCGAAGGAGAGCAAATGCTGCTGCCGTGCTTCGGCACGATCTGCCTCGGCACAGCAATTTCCACCGCTCACGCGTGACGTGATGTACGTTTATTAAAGAACCGTGATGAAGTGAACGCCTCTCGTATAGACGAAAAAAAGTGAGATTGTGAAAAGGTGGCCAGGTGGAATCGAGGTCGCTTGTTTAACTCCTGCGATGAACTTCAATTCCAGTGATCTAGCGAGTGCATGGTCCGGAGGTCACTTCTTGGAAGAGATCTCAAGTAGTTATGTGATATCCGCTTTTCGGAACTGTTCTTTATTCTTACTCTTTCAGATGAATGGGCCTCTGTCTCATAACTTACCGATAGCGCAGTTGCGATCAAAATTGGAGCAGGGTAGAAAAAGATTAACGTGAGTCTTATTTTTCAATGGTGGGTGGGGTGGTGAAAACATACTGGGTGAAGTACTTTAACCAAGTTCTAACCCGAACCATAGCCCGACCTCTGCCACTTTTACCGAGACCCCTTATTCACCTTTGAATTAGCTGTTTTTGCTTTGGTGTTTGAAGCGTCCAGGGAAAATTGTTGTTCCGAGACATTTTGTGTTGATAAAGCATATCCAGGACCACTGCCTGACTCGGCTATACGCGCAGACTTGGGAGCGATAGCAAGCAACGGAAGTAGAGCAGCAGAGCTGGTGCGGAACAATTGCATAACAGGAGGTTCACATTGCAATAGTGCAGGTCTCTTATTAAGTGTCGCTTAATGTCTGCTCTTGCGTTTTGGCAGTTGAGCGTGTCCAGGGATTGAAAAATAACGGACGTGGTTTGCTACCGGACCTTGTGCATGTGGACAGTTTGCGTTTTTGTGTTAAATTCTTTGTTTCCTTTTTGCACGCCCAATCCTTGTTGGTTTTTCAAAAACCTGATCTGGCGGTGATCAGTCTCCCCCCCCCCCCCCCCCCACACAGTATGAAAGGAAGCATTTCAATAAACGAAATACACGCCGTGCACTTTTACGTGTTTATACGACTGATCTGCTTGGAGATGCTGAAATAAAGATTGAATTGTCATGTGTGGTGCTAAAGCCTTTTTCAGTTCGCCCTTGGAAAATTGCACTCATCCCTCTTAGATAGCGCTTGGACCATAACTTACATTTTACAATACATTTTACAGTACGGTATGACTTGTTTTTTTCACGTAATTTTAAGTGATATTTGAATTTATTAGGTGGAAGTGTTTGGAGCCATGCATTTTAGGAGGCACTAACCATCAACTGCATCGGAACATCAAGAAGCTGATGTGCCCATCTTAAATAGAAAATTTAAGACAAACCAAGTGGTGCGATTGGCCGTGCAACCCAAATGACGGACCATATCGTAGACCACTCGTCTGTGCCCCTTCAACGGACGAATATAACCCATACTGACTCCTCCCTAAAACCTGATTCCCACCACCATCCATCGCAGAAGAATTCCCACATCAAAACGCTACACCATAGAACTCAATGTTTCTTCGACTATGAACACCTAACCAGTGAACTCAAACACGTACACCAAGCTCTCAAGGCGAATGGATATTCTGATTCCACAATCCGCAAAGCCATCACCCCAAACGTGAGGAAGAAGCCATCTGAGGATCCAATCAAAACCATCACCCTGCCATACATAGGGCGTAACCAAAAATATTTCCCAAATCATGAGCAAACAAGATCCAGATCCGATTTAACACTGCATACAATTCGTGATCGGATCCCATCTGTGAAGGACAAGATTCCTGACATGTAATATCCCGGCGTCTACAAACTAAGCTGTATCTGCGGCAGAAGTTATATTGGGGAAACTAAGCGACATGTCTCGGATCGTGTTCGTGAGCATAAGGCAGACAGGAAACACGGTAGAACCAATACTTCTGCCGTGGCTGATAATTATTTTAATGCGGCTGGCTCGCACGAAATTTATTTCTCTAAGATGATGGAACTTTGCAAGCCGACTAGCTATTAAAGAATCGTTCATGAAGCCATCCATATATACACAGACAATTTCAATCGAGAGGATGGTTATAGACTCAGCAATCATTGAAAAGATGTCATCAACCACTTTGGGTCATGTCTTGTGTTTTCTGTCAATTAACCTCCACCCTCAGCTGTGTGGAACGGGGCGCAGTGATTTCCTGGCAGCCCTTGCTGCATTGGCATTGCTGCTGCATTGGCATTGCTGCTGCATTGGCATTGCTGCTGCATTGGCATTGCTGCTGCATTGGCATTGCTGCTGCATATGCATTGCTGCTGCATTGGCATTGCTGCTGCATTGGCATTGCTGCTGCATTGGCATTGCTGCTGCATTGGCATTGCTGCTGCATATGCATTGCTGCTGCATATGCATTGCTGCTGCATATGCATTGCTGCTGCATATGCATTGCTGCTGCATATGCATTGCTGCTGCATATGCATTGCTGCTGCATTGGCATTGCTGCTGCATATGCATTGCTGCTGTGCTGCATATGCATTGCTGCTGCATATGCATTGCTGCTGCATATGCATTGCTGCTGCATATGCATTGCTGCTGCATATGCATTGCTGCTGCATATGCATTGCTGCTGCATATGCATTGCTGCTGCATATGCATTGCTGCTGCATATGCATTGCTGCTGCATATGCATTGCTGCTGCATATGCATTGCTGCTGCATATGCATTGCTGCTGCATATGCATTGCTGCTGCATATGCATTGCTGCTGCATATGCATTGCTGCTGCATATGCATTGCTGCTGCATATGCATTGCTGCTGCATATGCATTGCTGCTGCATATGCATTGCTGCTGCATATGCATTGCTGCTGCATATGCATTGCTGCTGCATATGCATTGCTGCTGCATATGCATTGCTGCTGCATATGCATTGCTGCTGCATATGCATTGCTGCTGCATATGCATTGCTGCTGCATATGCATTGCTGCTGCATATGCATTGCTGCTGCTGCTGACACATTTGGGCTACGCCCATCTCCAAACTTTTATGAAAAATTTGCCTTTAGAGACTAACCCCTTTTCCTGATGACGACCCCTTGTGTTGCGATCGAAACATCATGCTATTTTTATTCACTTTGTTTAATTTTTATTCTTTTTTCGATCTACGTGACTTTACCGAAAGAACCAAAGAATATGACTGACGTTGGCTTTGGCGTGGTGGCTAATGGTCTCGATAAGGGGTTTGGCAACTTGCGGCTCGGGAGCTGCATGCGGCTCTGTAAGGACCACCGTCTCGTATTCACATGCATTGCGGCTCTTGATATTGAGGGTTTTTATTTTTATTACCAAATTTGAAAAAAATGACTTGTCTCATTTTGGTTGCCGGTCTGTGTCGTGTAGACTCCTTACGACGGAGTGCCACCTAGCTAAAGGAGGAAGCGCAGAGGATGATCCTTGAGATTGAGTGAATTAAATCAACTTGTGGGCGCTGCACATCCTGTTGCATCGCACGACCAGGAGATGGCAACTTGGGGGGGGGCTTCATCCAGGAGTGGAGCGTTCATATCTGATGGTCGTGACGGCTGAAAAACATGTTGTGTTGAATATGTTTACGCCCGCGAACTAAGTGTCGTTTTAAGTGGGCGTTGTGCAAATTTCCTGGCAATTTATATTTGCCAAATGTTGTTGAGAAATTGTGCACGGAACATAAAGGAAATAAATTCAAGACGTAAATATTTCACCGAATTAAGCGTTCACTCGTCCATGAATCATCTCCCCATGTGGAAAACTGTCTCGCTCCATCCACGATCACGACCGTAGGGCCTATGAGATGGGTTTGTAATTAAATGCTTCGATGTCACTACATATGAAATACAAACGGCGACTCGGGTAGCGGAGGAGACGCCACGTGATGATGCTCCATCGTTGAGCGCGTGATGATGCGTTCATATTGGGAAGTTGCAATTGCGATGTGCGATGTTGTTAACCTAATGGACTCATTTGCTTTGATAACGTTTTGTTCGTGCTTTTTGTTTTGGTGCCATTTATTAATTTGTGTGTTAATTTGTTTATTTTGCTTGGTTAGGAAGGCTTTCGGTATGTGTGTTGGGCTTCTTTCGCGCCGTACATAGCCAACCGCGTATATGAGATTTGGTCCTTAATATAATTACTGTACAGCGTTGTGGGATGGCTGTTGGCATGACGTGAAATAAAATAAAGGTATTATTAGTATTAATATGTAAACCAGCTGAAGGGTTGCACAAAGAAGATTATTGGAATTACGGAGAGGAACAATACCGGCTCGGGGGGGGGGGGAAGACACAAATAGCAGCGAGACGTCGACTTGAGAAAAGTGTCCTTGGTCAGGGACCACGTTGCCGAGCAGATGCCGGGCCAGTGGGTGTGAGACTGGTGGCGGAATGGCAGTCAAAGTAAGGAAAACGTGCGCCCCCAAAGAGCGTGACAGCCCCGGAGACGGGAGGGAGAGTGGCATCGCAGGACCGTGCGGTGTGGATCGACTCGCGTCTCCCGATGCTGCGATGACAAAGATCTCTTGTGTGGCCTTAACAGACTGTTGGGGCGAGTGCTGCTAGCGAGGACCTGTGAATGCCGGCATCGGTGAGAGGGGGGGGGGTCACAGTAAAGTGGGGTGGGGGAAGGGGGGTGGGGCAATGGGGTTTGGTGGTGGTGGAAGGGGGGTGGGGGGATTGGGGGGTGGGGGAAGGGGGATTGGGGGAAGAGGGTTGGTGAATGGGGTTGGGTGGTGGGGGATAGGGGGGAGGGGGGTGGGGGTTGGGGGTGGGGGGAAGGGGTTTGGGGAAGGGGGATTTGGGGGAAGGGGGTTGGGGGAAGAGGGTTGGGGGGGGAGGGGGAATGGGGTTGGGTGGTGGGAGATAGGGGGGAGGGGGTTGGGGGTGGGGGAAGAGGGTTGGGGGGGAGGGGGAATGGGGTTGGGGGACGGGGGCACAGGGGCACAGGGGCGGGGCGAGAGAGAGGGGGGGTGACTTTTAGATTGCACCTCCGGGACGTCACCGACGCTCCAAGAACGGCGGTCCGCACCGGAAATCCGGTTCGTGGCGGAAGTCCGGCGAGCGCTGTCAACATGGCGGCGCGCAGCAGGTCGGGCTGACGGCTGCGCTCCGCTGCCCGCGAAGCGACGCCACCGCTCGCGGCTACGAAGCCCGCGGCGACCGCGGAATCCCGACGAAGGCGGCGGTGGGCATCCTTGCTGGCGTTTAACACGGGGGCCGGGGCCGCATGGGGCAGCAACAGGCGAAGGGCGGCGAGGCGCGCAGGGCCACGCTGCCCCGGCCCTTCAAAGCGAGGAAAGACGTAGCGGCTGCCTCGTCCGCCTTCATCATCACCCCGTCTTCGTGCTCCTCCGTCGTCGTCGTCGTGCCCTCCTCGTCGTCCTCCTCCTCCTTGTTTCCCGGAGCCACGGGGCGCCACTCCGCAGCCGCGACGCCGTGCAATGTGTTCGAGGAGCATGGTGAGTGGTCCCGGGCGAGTTGAGCGGGGTTCTTCTTGACTTTCCAGGGGTCCTACGCGAACCGAGCTAGACATGTCCTGGGAAGAGGAAATGTCTCGCGGTAGTCGTAACCTTAACGGCAACAAACACTTGCCAACCCACACCATAAGCTCTAACGCAACTGCACTCGCAAACCAGATCATAGCTTTTAACACGAGCCAACAACATCTTCGCCCTGACACTGGCCACGCTAGCCTACCAAACAATAGCCCTAACAGTAACTAAATTAGCCGACCAGATCGTAGCCGTATCACTAACCACACGAGTCAACCCGACCCTAGCCCTAACACTAACCACGCTTAGGATTTCCACCTCAGAGGAACACAAAAAAAGGCCGCAAAAACACCGCAATTCTACATGAATATAAACTCATGCGTGGTTATGGATCATTGTGGATGAAATCTAAACATGACTCTTCTTCTGTCTCCGTATAAACACAGTACCAATATTTGGTTTGTTTCGTCAGCCTACTGGCGTTCCAAAACTCTGCAGCATGTGTGTTTGTGCCAAGCCCTACTTGCTGGTGAGACGCGTAATGTTGAAAAAGGCCTCGAGTTTGCTTGCTTCAACACACCTGCTGGATAATATTGATCTGGAAAGCCAATCGGCTGATTGACTAAACAAGTATTTTTTATTTGTATGTGGAGATACCGAACGGAGTTACACATGTACATGTGTTTATCTTGAGTGGTGTATTGTCATGTAAGTGACGAAACACATCTAGACTTGTTAATGTCTTGGAAAGAAATGTAGATTTCGGAGGGCAAGCTGGCTTATAAAAAAGGGACGATCCTGGGAAAACCAGAAGAGGTGGCAACCGTATATATTTTTTTTATTTTAGTCACTGTAGACTGAGTGCATGAAAAGTTATCGTGCATGATGATGAATGCGACTATCCACCAAAGACCTAAGCGCGACGGGATGAAATTAATTATCCGCAATGAAGATGCAGACTGAGATAATTAAGTAAATTTCGATTTAGAGCTTTCGTGACTGCATGGATTAATCTTCTTTGGTTCTTTCGGTAAAGTCACGTAGAATGAGAATAAAATAATAAATTGATAGAATAAAATAACACAATAAAATTCTCACGACGTTTCGGCCACAACACAAGCGGCCTTCATCAGGTGAAGGGACGAGACTGTCTGGAGGAAAGCGCTGTCCTCCAGACAGTCTCGTCCCTTCACCTGATGAAGGCCGCTTGTGTTGTGGCCGAAACGTCGTGAGAATTTTATTGTGTTTTTTTTATTTTATCAATTTATTATTTTATTCTCATTCTACGTGACTTTACCGAAAGAACCAAAGAAGATAATGAAGTAACTTTATTCGAGACTGCAGTGCACTGAGGAAGACCAAGCATAGCACATTGACTACACTGTATATGTATATAAAACATTTACTGAGTTAACTAATTAGCCGTCCCGATAACATTGACAGGGGGTGGGGGGGGGAATGCGTGCCCGTCTAAGACTCTTAAAGTATGGCAATTACACCCACAGACTAAGACTCGGCGAAAATGTTGCAGGGTCTCAACCAAACTAAGACTTTGACGAACATGAAAGTGGAGACCCGCTGACCACAGGGTAAAGGTTATGGTTTGAGTTGGTCTTTGAGGGACTAGAAAATGTTTGTGGTTGGAAAGACCTCGCGGAGCGGATATTCGGAGGTGATAAGATAAAAGTGTTGGTGGTGTCTCACTTGTTGTGGTCTTGGTTGGTTTTGTTATTGTTATGCATTGTGGTATTCGAAGTTGTGGAAGTGTGTGACACCTGGCATAATATATCTGCAGTCAAATCATCTGCATATTGTATCATCTACAGCAGCAGTAGCATCTGCTTAGCAATTAACAGAAGCAGCAACAACATCTGTGTATCATCGTCATCATGACCAATGTGCATGCACACATGGAAGCATATAAGTACAGTGCAAGAGTGGATTTTGCTTCACTGCCCTCTACTGCCAACCAATCTACCCCTGGAAGTCCCACGACAGCAACCTATTTGTGTGTGGCCACCCATCCAAGAACTTGTACATGTTCAGCCATACCTCTCTTACGAGCACAGGCATGGACGATACGTTTCAAACAAGACGCGAATGTGTCAAATGTGTTAACAGCGCCACACATTGTCCATTATGCAAAACGCTATTAGAGTTATTTTAAAGAAGTGCTTTGTGGTCCTCTTTTCTTAGATCACCATCAATTAAGTTTCAGCAAATGTGACGACTGAGAGCAGCTGTGATAACTGTGGACCGGTGTCATCCAAATTAGGATTCATCAGCACAGTATCGTCACCAATTGCCCACTGCTGCAAAATTTGCCTCTGCATAATATGGCATGGGTAACTTACCATTTGCGTTTTTTTTAATTAGCTCTGGCTTTTGACTGAGTCTTGATGATGTAGCAGCAGACATCATGTCTTAACTAGTACTTAGCTTATCGGGGCTTTCGCCTTCAGCATGCAAAATACATTGTGTTCCAATTGACCATTATTTCTTTCTGATTAGTTTCTGCTATTCTCTATTCTTTTTGTGCAGTAACTCGAATGATATTCAGTGAGAGCAGACATTGTCTCAAATCACAATCGAGTTACATTAGCTTCTATATCCCAATTACGAGACACAGTGTGCTTGCCTAATCATAATTGATGTTGCCTTTGTTATTTTTACTATTTGTTTTCTTGTTGTATTTTGCTGTCGATTCAGATAGCATAAAGATGTGCCACAGCCGACCTGGCTTCATGGAGCAGTACTAAGCCAGCTGCCTGTGTCTCCACTTGCAAGACATGTTGTCCTAATGGGCTCACAATGTAGGATGTATGTATTCTATATCTATATATGTTTTCTTTGTGTGTGTGTGCTGTTGCATCAGCATGTCTGATAATGTGGCATTACAACCCGTGTCTTGAGTGAGCACTGAGCTCGCACTGAGCTTCTGTATTCTACTTGCAAGAGACATTCTTCTGGCGAATTATTAGTGATTTTACTTTTCTTATTTTGTACTCATTGTTGGCAGTATTTTCTGTTGATTCTGATTGCGTGACGAAGACATGGAGCTGGAGTAAGTCACCTGCCTCACTCTCTCCGCTAACGAGAGAGCTTGTCCACATGGGCTCAGTATAGGTTTCGTGAATTTTCCTTACATTTCCTTTGTGCGTTTCCTGTTGTTTCAGTAAGGCTGATAATGTATGTCACACATTGTGTCTCTCGTCACGACTATTTCTCCCACTTAGAAGAGACACTGCATCCCAATAGGCTATTACCTGCTTGATTATTCTGAAAGGTTTTGATCCCTTTTATATGTCGCCTTAATTGCTGCTGTTGCTACTGCTGCTTCAGAGATTGCGTTTGATGCTGGCAGACAGCACATAGGGCTTCACAGTGCTGCACTACTAAAGTTTCATGCCTCTTGCAAGAGACATTGCGCCTTCTAATGGGGCCCTTACTTTATTATCGATGTCGAATTTGATTGATAGGTACGAGCAAGTAAGGGGAAGTGAGGTCACTGTTGTGCCTGGATGCTCTCCGGGATGGTCCGCGAATCCCCAGTGTCAAATTACCATTCGTTATCAGCATTCACAAAGGGGGATACTAGATAGCTGGACTACAGTGTGCGAAATGAGATTGTGTGCACGCCCGCTTGTGAGTTCAAGGACAGGCAGCTTGAAAATGAATCCTCGGAGGATATTCATCATTATCGTCATCAGCAATGATCATCGATCCACTGCTGAAGGCCGAAGGCCTCACCACGCCAGCGCTGTCGCTCGCAGTCCTGGGGTGCCAACAATCCACCGAGCACGCGCGCACACGAGCTGATTGCATCACTCCGTTCTCTGCAGTAATCATCCCCCTGGCGTATTCTCGCCTTTGGTTGCCACTCCATCAGAGGTCTTCATTTGTTTAGTGAACTCGTCGTACGTGCGTATTGTTTTGCTGCACAACGTGTCTCTTTCCCAACGCTGCCAGCCTCCTTTGGCAAGGTATTTCATCGTTATTAAAACCCAACTACAAACCTTCTGAATTGGCTGTCAGGTGGCGGCGGGTTTAACGACACATTTATATTTACGCGATTTAACCCAAAAGAACCTCTTATGGAACAGCCTGATAGAGATTTCATGTTGGGAGACACGCTTTCCCCTAAAGTTAGTCACAGAGATGGTGGTGGATGTTTTCCGACAATTGGATTGGCGAAAATAAAGGCATGAACCAAAAAAAGAATAAACGACTTAAACATTTAAAATTTACTTATTGCAGTTGTAGCCGCAACAAATTGAAACACAACCTTCATATGACTCGTCGAATATCTGTACTTCCATCGGAATTTCTTTTACACCACAACATTACATTTTTATAACTTATATTCAAATAAATTTATTTCCTTCCTTAGAATATGAAATGTCAACCAAAGGCCACATTACAGTATTTGTTTGCCTTTCTGTTACGTCCTTTGCCCAGACCACTCTTGCACATGAGTACTAACCTTTTGCTCGTTCTCAGTTGGTTACACGTTTTAAATTAAGCAAAACTTAGCAGCTGACAAAAAATCAGATATGCTATGTTTGGAAAACTGTGTTGCGGTTTGCACATTTTATTTGTGGGTGATGGCTGGAACAGGGAAGTGTAATATTTCCATGTGTCTGTGCATTTTTATTGACTGCTTCAAAAAATTAAAACCATGCACCTGTGATTTTGGGAAATAGACCTCAACACATTGTTGTTTATTGGGTTATGTAATTTTTGCTTGTTAGGATGTACGCCCACAGTGCATAACAGGTGTTATAGGCTGCAGAGGGACTATGTGGTGGGCAGCAGAGGGCAGTGCTGCAACATCCATTGTTGTACCATACTTCTGTGCTACCACGCTTATGCTCGATGCATTCGCCAAACCCTCGACCACCGTGGTGAAGTATGGCCAAATAATTCCCTTGATACTCGGCGTAGGGAGGCCCTCATCCAGCAGTGGA